CTGGACTGTCCTAAGGCTCGCCTGCATGTGCATGAGTGTGAATTTGACACAAACAGAGGTGTCCAAAAAAATGCCTGTATACAGGCCATACAAGCGTGATTTCGGACACCTCTAACATTTGATGAACGGAACTTGTAATATAGCTCGAGTTGAAGGGCCCAGAAGATAGTATATTTCAGGTCACTCGAGATTTTGGAGCCTCGGGATCTCTTCACTTGCAGGTTTTTGCGGAGATCATCTTGCTGATCCTGTGGACATCCTCTTTCGACTGCAGCGAGGAGCAATTCCACCAGTGCACTGCGCTCTTATAGTTGGGGAAGGTGCAGGTGGATTTCCTGGAAGCCTCACTCCAACAAAATGAACAAAGACAACCGTACTGTTGACACCTTTGATCGCACCCGTGCAGGAGTTTGACATGGTGGAGTTCTACGCTGGACGTGCGCTAATGTCCAAATGCATGAAGGCCTCCGGTCTCCGAACAGCTAGTTTGGACATCCTCTACCAGCCGTCTTGTGGGAAGGATCGACGACCTTACGAACTGCATGGACGTCAATTCCCCCAGTGGGTTTGCGTGTATTGAACCAAAAGTATCCTTTCTATTTTCCTGGGTCTCCAAAGAGAGCTGTGCCGAAAGTTTGTCAATCACAATTGGGCTTCAGAGTCTAAGTTCCCTTCCCTGAACCTAATATATATATATAATGTATATATATATATATTGTTTCAAGCCCATCTTATCCCATCTTCCAAAAAGGTTGCAACCCTTTGGGACACTATTAAACCTGTCCTCCAATTTAAAGGGTTGCAATGATCTTTTGAATGCGTCAGGGGCACGCTCCCCCAAAACCCAAAACCTTCTCAACAGCCATCCCAGCTCTGGAACCGGCCCAGGTTGTGTGTCGCCGTCCTGCTGAAATGCAGAGTCGAGCACTTCCTGGCAGGCTTTGCGCTCCGCTGCAGCTCGTGGACGGGGATCAACCGTGGCACATCTCAACGGTGCCCATGTGGATCTTTAGGCTTTCTAGCATATGAATCGGTGGTGGACGCAAACAAGCTTGGAAGCAGGACACTTGTTGTTGAACATTAATTCCTGTGTGTAAACCGGAACCTTTCTACAAATGGTTTATGACATTGAGCAATCAAGGACATCGTATTTATGTCTCCTAACTACGGCGCTGGGTGGAACCTGGTTTTTGGAGCAGCCTGGAGGTTCTATGTATGAATATTTCATCCCTTTTAGGGAACTTCTCTTGGCACTCTACCAGAACCATGGATCATCAGCAGCTACTTAGACTTTGTTAGCCCTATTCCCCAATCATTATACGTCAGTCCTTTTTGTATCAAAATGTTTGGTTTTGACCCAGCCTTCTGAGGTTTCAAAGACTAGCTGGTGGATGAGACATTACGGAGGGCCATCTCCCAAAAGACATTGGGCGTACTGCAATTCAGAAGTTGTGCAACAACTGAATTGTGGAAAACTGACAAAGCATGATAAGAAAGGTTGCACAGCTAGAAATGCTGAAGTCTACCACAACCGTGCTGGAAAGAAGTGCTTCAAGGGAACATCCACACTCAAATCCTCAGAGTTCCTTAGATGAGTTTGTTTTGCGCGCATTCTTCTCCATGTTCTTTCTTTATATATAGACCTATATAGCCATTGAGGCACTACCCGCTACCTTTTGGAAGATGCATGAGTGATCTGTACTTAGCCATGGTACAAAGTGCCAGGGGAAAGGGTGATTTGCCTGATCCATGTCCTCCAGCCATTGAATCTTTTAGCAGGATGACCAATGACAGGTCGTCTGGACTTGAGTACGCAGGACTTCAGGAGGTCTTCAACTACCTCCGCCGGGGTAAATACCTCGACATTCCGCTGAACTGGAGGCAGTTCATTTCCAAGCCAACCTGAAAGCCTTCCGGGCCCTTTTCAAGAATTGTTGTTCGTCATCTCTTCAAAATTGTTTGAAGGGGGGTGTATGTCTGAAAGTGGATCACTGGAGGTCACGGAGGAAGGCTTTGATGGTGCTGTTGCTAGGATTTTGCCAATTTGGGTGGTTCTGAATAGAGTTTTTATGATTTTTTTGCTTTTTGGTCCAGGAAAACTCAGTGACACCGTATTTAACCCGTAGGGAACCCGTCTTTTGTATAAAAACATTGTGTTTCCACACCTGAAAACACTGTGTTTCTGAGATTTGGGAAAACACTGTGTTTCAAGAACCCGTAATTAACCCGTAGGGAACCCGTAGTAACCCGTACTAACCCGTAGGGAAAAGATGGGATCTTTCAATCTCCACCCAGCCTGCTAATTTGCGAGTTTTGGGCTCGCCCGACGATCTGTGATGCAGAGTCACAGGACCCAAATCCGGTGATGCAGGAAAAAGGGTTGTGTTGAATGGTCTGATAATATTCTTCGCATGCCCGGTTGATATTGCAAGTGTGCCTACTTTTGGATATCCAGCATTTGGCTTATCTATAGGTGCTGACACTCGGTCCGCAACATGCCTGGGCAACCTGACTCTCGGGTTTGGAGCTGTGCTTCTTTAAAGGATGGTGTGGACTTCCTGATTGAACAATCGAACCAGATTGAAAGCAAAGAACTAGAGCTGGAGAAGATGATTCAGGAACATGTTTTTGCCTATATCTGAAAACATGTTGAATGGTTTTACGTATATATAACACTTTTTGCTCTTAGCACCAGGATATGCAGCAAAAGATGGTGGGACTCCAGGCTCAACAACAGCCTCAAGCACCAGTTTCTCCACCCAAAAAAGCATCTTGGTGCACAATCAAGTGTGAAGTGCGTACACCTGTCCTTGCCCTGTGCCCCGTCAGCGGCCTGAGGATCCCGCCCACTATCCTTCCAGCGCTGAAACCATTGAGGTCAGCTTTTGGTGGGCCTGAACGGATGGGCTGGGCGATGTGTTTGTTGCCAGGGGTTGCCACATGCGACACATATATATATATATATAGTTTTTTTATATGCCCACGTATATGTTGTTATATAACATAAGTTCTTCTGTGCTCTCAGCAAAAGCCCGGCTGGTGAGGCCACTCCAGAAGAACTTGAAGCTGCTCGTCAGGAGAGACTGGCCCAGGACAAAACTGCGATGAAGGTTACGTGGCTCAAGTTGCGTGTCTCCGGTGATTTGCATGTTTGAAACGGCAAACATATCATATATATATATATACCTATATCACATTATATATCACAATGAGCGTGCGTGAGGATGAACCAAAGCCGGTTCCAACCCCTGTTCGAGCTGAAGCTATTCATGTCCCGGATTCCTCAGACAAGCTGGACTCTTTCACAACAACTGTGCCTGTGATGCCTCCTGTTGGCACCTTCACACAGGTTACTGAGGCTACTCAGGTTGCTGAGAAACCGACTGAGGGCCCCTCTGAGGGCACGTCAGGGCAGAGTTCACAGCCTGTGGAGCCTGTGGAGCCACAGCCTGTGGATGTGGAGTCACAGGCTCAAGATGCAAAGCCTGAGCCTGCTTCGGGCGCAATTGATGGTAAGCCTGGTAAGCCTAGAAGGCAGCTGACACGTCAGGAGCGGTTCTGATGTGCGTGTGCCGTATATATATGTATCACCACACATTGCACTAAAGTAACGCCAGCTTGTGATCAGGAACGTTTGAAGGAGGCTGCGAAAGCGCAATTGAGGAGGATGTGCGCGGTGAAGCGTAAGAGGGTTGGTATGAACTGCCCAGAATGGGTAAGACAAGAGTGGGAGAAGCGGGACAAAGGGGAGCTTGCCTCTCTTTTGATGTCCTGCAACTGGTCGAAGGCACTTCGTTTGTTTGTTCTGTTTGGCAGGCACTGGTTCTTGGTAAGAATTATGTCCTGTTTGTCAGGAAAAGTTCCTTTGTGAGCTGGAAACCATTGTTCGGAAACAGTCCTCAGTCACCATCACAATTGATGAGCAGTGGCTGTCGGAGCGAGATATGAAGGATCTTGGATGGTCTCAGACCCTGGGTCTGAAGTTGTTTGAACAATTCCATGAGCATGTTAGCAAGCACAGGGTTGCGTCCGTGTCGTGTTGCTTTTTCACTGCACTTTATCTCAGGGCAAGGATCAATGGAGCAAAAGCTGCCTGTGAGAAGAAGAGGGATACTCATGTTAGGAGCTATAGTCTTTTGGTATTTCAATTCAACTGCGATGCACTGTGTAAGTATATACATGTTCTTTGTGATGATCACTGCGCCATGACTGAGAAATATATAGGAAGAATGCCTATGATGACGTAACGGAGTACTATGTGGTGGTCTCTGAGAAAGTTCAGCGCGAAGAGCGCATGAGCCAAGAAGAGATCAAACGATCAACACAGAAGGCCCAATATAGTTCAATCGACTTATGATGTTTATTTCATGTTCTTTGAGACATGTTCTTTTTGTTCCTTTTTTCCAATCCGGCCTCCTTGTCCCAGGTGGATCCAGCTGATGCTCCAAAGGTTGATCCCAATGCCTTTCAACGACTCGCGGATTTGGAGTTGCGGGACCAAGTGAATCGGTCCACCCCAGAGGTGAAATCCCCATCGCAAGCACAGGAGGCATGTGATGATGTCAAACAGCTAAACTACACTGGTCATCCTTTTCCAAACATATACTTTACATTCACATGTCTTTAGTTGCGTGCCCTGCTGAGACGAAAGCGTGTCTGAAGAAGTTCTGCGAATCGATGCTACAGAAATCGGGTAAGATCAGGCAGTTGATCAGGGAACTCAAGGAAGAATACTCTGCATCTGCACAGCTTCAGTCGTTCTGTCCTCAAAGAATCCTACAAAAATAATGCTCTCTTGCAACCAGACCTTCCCTTTTATATATATTAAAAAACGACCCCCAAGGCAAGCCGCCTTGTTGGACAAGGAGCTGGCCAAGATGGACGGGGAATATGACAAGTGCCAGCAGATACTTTGCCAAGGGGAGCTCAACGGTTACAATGAGAAGCACCTTTGAGCAATTTCTTTAACCGTTTCACCAGTAAACCCGTGCCAAACCTCAATGTACCCCAGGTTTGTGAAGGAGGCCACTGAGAAGATGAAGACAGCAACTTACGTGTCCTCCCCTTAACTTCTGCATGGCGTGAGAAATGTTGTTCTTCACGCACGGTCTTAATATCATGAACCCCCGAACTCTCAGGTGCAGTGCCGCCTGTGCCGCAGAGCTGAAAGCGAAGTTGGGCCTCAGTGCATACTCAGACCAACGTGACAAGTATACATTCACATACTCCAACTTGAGTGGTCAGCCTACGTACTCTCACCCGTGCGCAGGAATGTCAAGAAGTATGAGAAGAAGGACAATCACACGAAGGGTCGCGATGCCAACAAGAAGGACAATCACACGAAGGGTGATGATACCAACAAGAAGCGCAAACATGAGGGCTCAGCAAAAGATGAGGCAAATGCCAAGGTACCTATAAGGTCCCTAAGGCAAAAGCCAAAGTGGCCAAATAGTTTTAATCATATGTGGGGTCTTGATTGCAACATCAATCGACTCATTGTAGATCTCTATTTAGCGGGAAGCCTGCAACACTGGCAGGGTAGAACCTGCACTTGCACATGGAGATATACCCAACTGTGCGTTGGAACCTTCCCGGTTCTGTCAAAAAAACTTTTCTCCATGTTTGACTGATCGTCCAACATAATTGTTTTGGTTCGGGGAGGTCTAAGTGCGCAGCAATCTTTTGCATAAATGCTCGGCTGGACTCGGGGTTGCCGGTGAAAGAGAAGCAAGTCATCTTTTGTTTGGAGGTCATTTAGTGTCCCCATATCGATGACTCGTCGATGACCACTTGTACCAAATCTCAGCCAGGTGCTGGAACGGCGCTCCGCAGCATAGCTGGTGATGTTGGCCAAGGGGCTGGGGTCCTCAGTCCACGTGAGTTTCATGAAGGTGCATGTATAAACAGGAATCGCTTGCTCATCAAGCAGGCCCTTGAGCATGCAATCACGTGTTCATAAATCAATCTGTATACATCATTATCTGCTTGAGGCCTTCTTGGATCTCTTTACTTTTTGTTTTTATGATTTATATATATAAGCATGTGCCTGTTTCTCTCCCATCTGGCCTTCCACCGATCATCAAATTGGCGACCATGGGCAGCGCGGCGTTCTAGATTCTGTAAGCTGTTCAGCAGTGGCGTCCAACATAGTTCTCCGTTATTATACATTGCCTTTTTGCAAGTGGTGATGGAACCAAAAACTTTGCTTGGGTTATCAGCTTCATGTTGGAGCCCTTACCATTGTTCTCTTTTCATCATGGCGCACCGTCTTTGCAGCCAGATTTGCAAGTCCGCTCATGAACACAAAACTCTGAAATGTATCCAATGCCCCAAGAAGAGTCGTGACAACATGGATGTCCAAACAGAGTTTTCATCAGCCTGCAGGTTTCTACATGTTGTGCGGTTTGGTGCCCTCACCTCTGCTGAAATCAATTTTGGAGGGTGTCCCAATACAAGGGCTTCCAACATTTTAATCAAGGCTGAGTTGGCCACACCAAAAAAACATCAGAGTTTATAGATAGCCACACCACCGGCTGTTCCCAACACTTCGCAGCTGACCACTGCTGAGGTTGCATCTTACAGGGCTTCTATTCGCACAGCCCGTGGGGTGGTGCAGGACTTGGGTGAAAAGGCGTGTGCTGCATCAGGAGGCCTTGTTGAGCTGAGCCGGGTCCGTGAAGACCACTCAGAAAGAGATGGCCACAGAATTTTGACTGAACACAAACTTGCCCTACCAATCCCGATCAGCCCTCTTCAGAAGACTCCTGGCACACGGTATTCGGGTGAGATTGGTTTTTTGCGATTGCGTGACTGGTTGCAGTTTATGGCTGACTACAACTGTCTCCATATCCTTGTTGGCCTAGAGAGGCCTGACCGAAGCAGAGAAAAGGCTATTTTGGGAGAGTTTTGGAGACTATATAGACAGCTTCACCCAAGTCATGAACTTTGGCACCTGTGTGATACAGGTGTCATTGCAGACCTTACGGGATGTTACCCCATGCTGCTCCATGGCGACGAAGGTCGTGGCAAGAAGCGATCTCCCTTTCTGGTCCTCGCTTGGCACTCTTACATTGGAAAAGGCACCCATCTATCCAACGAGCTTCGAAAAAAGAAGACATACTTGCAAATGCGCCTGAACTACGCTGGCAATACACACACCCACCGTTTCATTACTGGTGCTTTGCCCAAGATGACGAAAGACAATGTTGCTTATCAAGACCTGGTGCGAGCAATAAGTGAGGACATCTGCGACCTGACGCACAAAGGCATCACAGACTCAGAGGGAAACCGCTTCTATGCAGTGTGTCTTCAGGTGGTTGGAGACTGGCAGTTTTTGGCAAAGTGCGGCAATTTAAGCCGCAGCTTCGCCAACGTCGAGAAGCGGCCTCGTGGAGTTTCTTCTGTTTGTCGTGGCATTTGCCACCTTTGCAAAGCTGGCCAGCAGGATGTGCCCTTTGAGGATTTCAGGCCTGGTGATGTTCCAAAGTGGAAGCAAACTCTTTTTACAGAGCCTGGTTGGGACAGGGACAAGGTGCCAGCCATGGCTTGCATTCCACATATATTGCATTGTCCTGAGGCAATATTTGCATATGACATGTGGCATTGCTACCATCTTGGTGTAGCCAAGACATTCTTGGCGGGTGTCCTCGCGTTGATGAGCGACTGCATGATAGGATCAAGTATAGATTTGCGGTTCGAGGTGCTCTCGAACCAATTCTTGGATTGGGCAGACGCGCAACATCAGACTTCATACCTGCAGGGTATTACCAAGGAGACCATCGGCTGGCCCGATCGCAGCACTTATGCCAATGGGCAATGGTCTAAGGGCCACATTTCGACTTGCCTGGGCAAATTTGTCAAGCATTGGTTGGAAACAGAAGACCTTGCAGGGCAGCCACTCTTGCAAAAGAGCTTTGAGGCCATCGAGTGCATTGATGCTTGCATTGACGAGCTTTATGGGTCGGACCTCTGGTTGAAGTCGGAGAGAGCGTTGAGCATTGGTTTGCAGGGGGAGCGTTTTCTTCATTGCTACATGAATCTGGCAACCATGTGCTTCAACCAAGGCATTTTCCTTTTCCCATATATGCCCAAGGCCCACCCTTTAGCCCATGTGTTTGCAGAGCTCATCAGCCATGGCCGAAATCCTGCTTTGAAGTGCTGCATAAACCCTCTTGCTCACGCCGTCCAGGTGGACGAAGATTTCATCGGACGTCAAAGCAGAGTTGCTCGCAGGGTGGGGCCATCACAAGTTGTGCAGCGAGTTTTACAACGTGCCCTTCTCGCTGCGCATTATCATTGGTCGAAGTGTGGGTACATTGTAAGCTGAATTGTGGTCGTGAACCGTTGAAGTTATTGGAAAACAAGAGTGTCTTGGTTTGGGCGGGGCCTGGTGGTGTCTTGAGAAATCCACTAAAGTGGAAACACTGTGTTTTCTGGGAGAACATTGTGTATTTTCAAGATCTTATCTTTTCCTCGACTCCAGGCTCTCCTGGTAGTGACATGTGCTAGTGAATCAAACCAGAACTGAGTATAGAGAAAAGATAACGCAACATAAAGAAAAGAAGGTCTCCCAGGACCAATGGGCTTGTGCCCCTTGAGATGAGCAGAGTTCTAATCACGTGTGGCGTTTCATGTAGTTCACTCAGGTTCACTCAAATCCATATAGTTCACTCGTGGGCACTAGCATTTCACAGGGAATGAGATGGAAGTGACCAATCTCTTTCTCATTTACTGTAGGCGTTTTTGCGACCCTTGCGTCGAGAATCTCATTCTTAAGCGCGAATACTGTATCGGGTTTGTGAAAGAAAGGCCTACGCGAGGGTTCTTGAGCAGGGTGGCCGGGGCGGCGAGGCCGAAGTAGAACTGGCAATCTTGAAACAACGGCGGCAAGCCCTGGAGGCCAGGCCTGGGACCCTTGAGGTCGGCTTGTTGAGTGGGTGCAAGGATAGTAACTGAGCGGTTGGGTACCGGATGGTGGGGCATGAATGTCGTCGTCGTCGTTGTGTTTTTTTGTTTTAATGGTTTTTTGGCTGCAACATGTATGCTTATGAACTATTTTGCAGTTGACTCCAATTCTGTAGAAGTTAGACATATCATATATATATATTATAATCATGATATATCAACCATGGCATATCTTCCAACAAGGTTGTTCAGGTTGGTGTGTGTGTGTGTGTGTCAACTTGCTGTTTGGATGCAAAGCTGGACTTGCGACTGCAGTAACATTTGAAGCCATTGTCCTAGCTGCACTCCATCAAAAAGATATATGTTATGAGAAATTTTTGCTTTGGAAGATTGATTTTGGCATGTAGTGACTTAGGTAAAGGCCACACCCAGCAACGGAACACCCCGGAAAAGTTAAATCGATTTCGAGCGCCCAGTAGGGTCCACATGGGCGCCCATTTGGGTCTTCCACCCGCCACACGGGGAGAGCGGAGGTCGAAGCTGTTCGGCCTTGAGTCGTGAAAGGGCACCATTCGTCGAGCAGGGTGGAGTCCAATGCTTGAGAGAGCCCAGACACACCGAACAGCCCTTTTACAGGCCGAAGACGTGGGACGAGGGGAGGAGGTGGGACGACTGGTCCAGTTCTCCAGCGGCCCGCGAGCTGGGCTCCAAAACGCGACCGTGCGAGGGAAGGTCCGATCTCCCACGAAGGGAAGGACCGATGCACGAGCCGCCAGAGCCGCCAGGAAGAGCTCGCGATGGCCCGATCACTGGAGGTGGGAGCTGCGCTCGATGCGGGTCTCCGCGCCATGTGGAAAATCGTGACGAGAGAGAGAGAGAGAGCGAGAGCGAGAGAAATGCACAAGAACAAGCATGAACAAACACCCTTTGCATCCGAAATTCCGAACAGAAGCTACAGCGTTAATTTAATATGCAGAACGTATAAAATGCACGACTGCATGCTGATCTTTGCCATTTGTTACTTTCTTTAGGCTTAGGCACACCGAACGTACCCCACTCCAGAGACCATGAGAGTTCTCCGATTCTCAGTCAGCCAAGATGCTGTCCTATTCCTTTCGCTTCCTTCACCCCTTCAGACAGTCAGACGTTCATGGATTCATGGCCCTATAAATAGATAGGGCAGATAGGGGCTCCGCTAAAGCTTGAGGGCTTCTCGAGAGAGAGATTCTCCATGCAGATTGGGCCTCCGGTAGGTGTGCTCTTCTGGCCGTGCCAGGCCTGTGATGAGGCATCCTTGCGATGCAGGGTGCAGAAGCTCGAGGCGTGCGGTGTTTTCTCGCTGGAAGCACTGACCATCCATGTGGATCTTGGTTTGGGGGATTGTAGCCAGAAGGATTCGTAGATGTTCTGAGTAGTATTCTGAGTGCTCCGGACGTTTGCTGAAGAAGACGGCTTATAGGGGTTACAGGGTGGCATTTTCACGGTCTAGGTTAGTTTGCAGGGGGGTAAAAGGTGGGATTGCGTTCAGACACTCCGAAGATGGGTCTTAACACATGCGAAGATTGGTTGTGTGTTGGTGAAAACCAGAGGCTTTAGACATGGGAATGGCTCGAAGAATTTTGTACCACCCAAATTTACCAAAGGGCTCATTAAAGTCTGAAGATTGCATGCCCCTGAGCCAGTACAAACACTGTCGATACAGCTAGAACCGGCCAGGGAAGCTAATTACTGGAAAAAAAGACACCAAAACACTGTCATGCAGAATGCTTGCAGTGAGCATTTCAATGTTTGTTTCCTGGGGGGCGGGGTGTATACAACAATGATCTAGCATGAACATAGCCTGACTAAACACAGAAAACATAAGAAAACACATTCCGATTCCCTATTGGGTGTTAACAAACGTACCACGGCGTTCTTTAAGCTATTTTCTTTTGGGTCCTTCAGGGTGGCATGACCGGTCCAAAATCAAAGCGGCTTGAGGCTGATTTGTCCTGGGCCTGGGCGTGGTGTATTGGAATCAAATTTTCAGAGAGTGTAGATAGCACAAGGCATCAGTCAGTGTTTTAGATGGGGGGTGCATACAATAAAACCATCATCTACCGTGAGGGGGGGGGTCGTGCCATTTACTCTTTTTGAACCCCTCCCCTGATCCAAACCACCATATATACCACCTCTTGGGCAGTTTCGTGCCTACTGTTGAATCAACTACGAAGTTCCCAAACCAATGACTTGCCCTTGTCTCATCTCGCCGCATTCTTCACCCAGTTGGAGCTCAGCCAAACCTCGCACGAAGCGCGGCCTGGGCTGGGGCCAATTGCCAAAGAGGAGGAATCTGAGAACAGTCTGGGAACAGTAGTCAGGGAAGGAAATTCACGTGGCAGTTGAACTGGAACGTGCTTCTTTTTTGTGCGCCCATTTCGCCCATTCCGACAGCAACAGGAAACGCAAGGAACCGACCAATTGTAGGAACCAGGAGGCTATGTATGTGCACCCCATACATCAAGCAGCTGTAGTCTCAAGATCGTTTTTTCTTTTCCACATCATTTGTTTATCCTTGAAAGGATTTAATGTTGCATTGTCAAGTTCCACAGTTCGAAGCTGGGCGCAGGGTCTCTACACGGAAAGCTTGGTCAGGACTTGGTGGCAGAGCCCGCAGAGCATGCTCGTCTCCCTTCTACAGAAGCGAAGGCCGTCCTAGTCGTCTTGGAAGTGAATCAGGCTTTGTGAGCTGTGAGCTATGAGCTATGATGAGCTATGTGTGTACAGCGGCAGAATCGGTGTTGGAGGATCCTAAGCATGTAGAGTGGCCCAGTGGCTCGGTGTAGAGTGCGCCGTTGGAGGCGGAAGACGCTCAGGTCCAGCAGGCCTTGGCGTTTCTGGGTCCAGAGGTGTGCTTTGAGAAACATACTTGTATGGTCTACCGCAGCGGGGAAGAAGACAAGAAGCGACGCAAGGAAAGAACAACCAGGACAACTCATGTTTGACCTTGGTTCATCCTTCCTTCAATCAGCGCAAAGGGCTGCTCGCAAGCTTATCGAAGCTCCTGTCTGGAGCAACATCAAGCACCGAGTGTGAGTTGCCAGATGTTGCCATTCCAAGCATGTTGCCCATAAGTATGGTAAGTTTGCTATGCCGTGCTTTCGCTCATGTCCAGCTCCATTCATTCAGTAGCCAGAATGTTTGGTGATACCTGGGAGAGTGTCAGGATTCCCCATCAACCGTGGAAGTGGCTCAGGCAGGATTGTTCATTCGACTGGCAGAAACGCCGATATGTTTAAACACCCTCAACCTAGACGCTTTTTTTGCTATATATATATATGTAGAATATACCATGTAGAGTCTAAGCATAGCTGATAGATGCCACAAGCGGTCCCGGCCTAAGCACTGCCGTGCACATTCAGATAGGGACTTTTTCATTTAGGCCAACAAAAGTTAGCCATACAGGCCATACAACATATGACAGAGCCTTGTGGGAGTAGTTAGGTAGTTAGTCCACTGATGGCAGAGACACTGGCACAAATTTAGCGGTTGGTCCACCATTGGCCATAAACAAAGCAGTCCGTGCAGCTTATGTGTTGTGTCAAATGGTTTGGTTCTCTTTGGTTTTCTTGAATATGAGAGCATATGTTGTAGCTGATGTTGCTGTGGAAACTGGTTGATTCGCGTCAGGACCCTCCACCAGAGCCGGCAGAAGCTAGCATGGCTTTTTCCGAAGCGAAGGCTCTGTCCTGAATGGAGTTGTTTGAAGTTCCTTGCAGTGTTTTGGATGAGTGTAGTGCTACACAACGCTTTTTCCAAAATCAAGGAGTTGCACCTTTATCTTGTTTTCTTGGCGCATTGGTCTTGGAAAGGTGGAAGAGCCAGAGGTCAATGCAAATGCGGCAGATCGTCCCCAACATGAGGAGGCCAAAAAGTGTTTGTTCATAATTTTCAATTTTGAGCTCGGAGCAATTCTACCTGAATAAAAGCTGCTTGACGGCGCAGTTGATGTTCTGAAGTTCCAGCTGTTGATTCAATAGTTGATGTGCACGTCAACTCTTGAGTTTTGACAGCGGGCAGAAAGATTTTTGTTGATGGTAACGGCGGGTTGTTCTGCTGTAGAAGAGAAAGCCTCGCAAAGAAGAGGTTGCAAAGAAAAAATCAATATGTTTGTTTGGTTCGGTTGTCCATGAAACCCCGTGCAGCTTTGTTTCCGACGGACATGTGTTGTTGTGCTATATGGGTGGTCTCCCAATACCAGTGCATGCGTCACAAATGATATCGCAGCCTTTGCTTTGTCAGGACCCTCCACCACAGCCGACAGAAGCTAGTGTCGTTTCCGCCGAAGCGAAGGCACTGGCCTTTGAAGCTCCAAGTTCCAAGCAGCTTTCTTGAAGTTTGGAAGTAGTGCGAGACAAAGGTTTGCTAAAGTCAACGGATGGCAACTTTTGCGTGGACAGGTTGAAGAGCTAGAGGTCAAAGCTCTTGTGGCCGATCCTCCCCAACACGAGGAGGCCATAGAGTCATAGAGTTTTTGTTCGTAATTTTCCATTTTGATCATTCTCGAAGCAATTTACCGTAATACAAGCTGCTTGACAGTGCAGTTATGTGCTGGAGTTCCAGCTGTTGATTCAATATGTGAGCTGCACATTTTTGCTGAATGATTGATCATGAGTATATAAGAGTTGTTTCGTTTGTACAAAAAAACGCCTCGCGAGGAATAGGTTGCAAACAAGTACGTGTTAGGTTTGCTCGTCCATACGCCGTGTAGCTTTGCTGTTTCATGCTGTTTCCAACAGACATGTGTTGTTGTGCTATATGGGTGGTCTCCCAATACCAGTGCATGCGTCACAAATGATATCACACCCTTTGCTTTGTCAGGACCCTCCACCACAGCCGACGGAAGCTAGTGTCGTTTCCGCCGAAGCGAAGGCACTGGCCTTTGAAGCTCCAAGTTCCAAGCAGCTTTCTTGAAGTTTGGAAGTAGTGCGAGACAAAGGTTTGCTAAAGTCAACGGAATGGCAACTTTTGCGTGGACAGGTTGAAGAGCCAGATGTCAAAGCTGTTGTGGCAGTTCCTCCCAAGCACGAGGAGGACAAACCGTCTTTTGTTTATATAAATAAGAATCTATATTTGGAACATTCTCGGGCAATTCTATCGGAATACAAGCGATACAATGGAGGTGCACATCTTAACTTTTACGTTATGACTCATGACAGTGAACCGAAAGATTGGTCAATGGTACCAGTTGTTTCATTGGCAATTAGAAAAGATCGCCTCGCAAAGCATAGGTTGCAATTAAGTGTTTGGCTTGCTTGTCCACATCCCGTGCAGCTTTGCTGTTTTCGGCAGACATGGGTTGTGCTACAGGGTGGTCTCCCAATACCAGTGCATGGGTTGAGACTGATATCGCCTCCTTTGCTTTGTCAGGACCCTCCACCACAGCCGACAGAAGCTAGTGTCGTTTCCGCCGAAGCGAAGGCACTGGCCTTTGAAGCTCCAAGTTCCAAGCAGCTTTCTTGAAGTTTGGAAGTAGTGCGAGACAAAGGTTTGCTAAAGTCAACGGAATGGCAATTTTTTGCGTGGACAGGTTGAAGAGCCAGAGGTCAAATCAGTTGCGGCAGATCCTCCCAAACACGAGGAGGACAAAACGTTTTGTTCGTAAATATGTATATACGTGGATTTATTTGGAGCATTGTCGGGGCAATTCTAGCGGAATAAAGTCGCTTGACAGTGCGGTTCATGTAGTGGAGTTCCAGCTGTTGATTGAATAGAGGTGTACGTCTTAACTTCTAAGTTGTGACACAGTCAGCAGAATGATTGGTCATGGGTAACAGATGTCTCTGTTGTACAAAAGAACGCCTCGCAAAGAATGGGCTGCAAAGAAATATGTGTTAGGCTTGCTCGTCTTTCCCGTGTGCGGCTTTGCTGTTTCCGACAAAGATGTGTTGTGCATATATGGGTGGTCTTTCAATACCAGTGCATGGGTTGAGACTGATATCGCAGCCTTTGCTTTGTCAGGACCCTCCACCACAGCCGACAGAAGCTAGTGTCGTTTCCGCCGAAGCGAAGGCACTGGCCTTTGAAGCTCCAAGTTCCAAGCAGCTTTCTTGAAGTTTGGAAGTAGTGCGAGACAAAGGTTTGCTAAAGTCAACGGAATGGCAACTTTTGCGTGGACAGGTTGAAGAGCTAGAGGTCAAAGCAGTTGCGGCAGATCTGCCCAAACACGAGGAGGACAAAACGTTTTTGTTCAAACTTTTTTTTGGAGCATTCTTGGGGCAGTTCTAGCAGAATAAAAGTCGCCTGACAGCGCGGTTCATGTAGTGGAGTTCCAGCTGTTGATTGAATAGAGGTTCACATTTTACTTTTAAGTTGTGACACAGTCAGAAGAATGATTGGTCATGGGTAACAGATGTTTCTGTTGTAGAAACAAACGCCTCGCAAAGAATGGGCTGCAAAGAAGTACGTTTTAGGCTTGCTCGTCCTTCCCATGTGCAGCTTTGCTGTTTCCGACAGACATGTGTTGTGCTATATGGGTGATCTCTCAATACCAGTGCATGGGTTGAGACTGATATCGCCTCCTTTGCTTTGTCAGGACCCTCCACCACAGCCGACAGAAGCTAGTGTCGTTTCCGCCGAAGCGAAGGCGCCGCCCTTTAAAGCTCCAAGTTCCAAGCAGTTTTCTACGTTTGTAGAGGCAGAGTTTTGCTAAGTCAATGGAATGGCAACTTTTGCTTGGAAAGGCTGGACAGGTTGAAGAGCCAGAGGTGAAAGAAGTTGCAGCAGATCCTCCCAAACACGAGGAGACCAACAAGTATGGATGAGTGCATGTCCTTTTTGATTTGGGGCCCTAAGCCCTAAGCGGACAGTCCGTTGACCTTGGATTGGAGTCCAGTTGTGCTGACGACTTTGTTGTGCTTCTGTTAACTGGATTGCATTCAGAATCGGCGAATCGGACAGGATGACTAGGGGGCTAGGCCTTTTGAGATGGCCTCTATGCACAAAAAGAGCTTTCCAGTCTTTGAACAGCCACCCGTGCACCTGTTGTAGGCTGATTTGTGATGGTTAGGGGGGGGAGTTACCTACGCGCACCCATAATAGTCACACAATGCCGATAAACTGATAGATCATCATAGATTTTATATACAGCATTTTGGTATATTTTGGTCATCATTTTGGTAGCTCAATCATCACTTGCTTTACTCATTATACTCATTGCCCCCCACATTTGTGGCCAAATCGAATTGCGCTTCCTGCAAAGCAGGACTCGCCGGCAGCTGGCGAGTGAAGCCCAAGTGCAGCCGATGTTAATGCGATGTCCACAGGCCTTTTAAGGGAGCCGTCCCTTCACAAAATAGATATAAGGGCAGTTATTTTATCGCAAAACAGTCACTGTTGAACGCACTGCAAACATTCATGGAATATTACTTTTGCAGGCAGACGCGGTAGACATTTCTCATGACCTGCTGTTGCTTAGGGCTTGATCCTTTTATTCTGCAGTTGCATGTTCTCATGATTTCGAGGACTCTATGAGGAGTGTTTTTTTTATACCCAGCTCAAGACACTAGATTCACTAGATGGATGTCGGTGGTGTGAACACCATGGCCCTGCATGGACAAAGCCAAGCCTAGAAACTGGAAGTGGAATGATTGTAGGCCGGGTCAGCAGGGCATTTCTCCATCCTATTCGCGTTTTGGGTGTTCTTAGGGGCCTGCACTGCCTCAATTTTCTCTATTCACTTTCCAAGATCATCCGCACGTCGGCCCTCCTCTCGACAGACAATTTCAGACCATCATCATCCGCAGGATGGGGTCATTGGGCAGAACTTGGCTTGGCTGATCCCGATTGCTTTTAATCAACCGCTGATTCGCTGCTGATTGGCTTATTGGCTCGACTCCACTTTGGCGGATCCTGTGGCCAGTGTTGATGCCACCCTCTGAGGAGCTCTTCGTTTTCCCAGCAGAAGGGTGAGTTTTCATGAGTTTGCCATGTTCATGCTCGTTGCCCATCCTGAGGAAGAGAACCATTAGGGTGTTGAGTTTGGGCTCATGCAAGTGGCTTTTGGGCTGCAGATCTTCCTCCAGGAGATTGCTTGAGCCAGCACAGGCTGGAGCTGGTTTCGCGACACCCCAAAGCAAGGGAACTATGAAGACTCCTTGACACCTTGGTTTCACTGATCACGACACTCTATGAGTACTTCAGTACGAAGGCTCCTTGGTTTTTCTTGTTCAGTAGGCAACCCACGTGGTGCCAGTGAAAGGACTATCGGGGCCAACGCCAAACCCACCCAAAAGGGCAACGCAGGGACCCCCTTTGCATGAGAGAGTTCCACAGGCCGGTTTCCCGCGAAACACCTTGAAACAGCTCAGCTTTTTTTCTGCAGTGATTGTGAGAAGTCACGAAACCAGCCATGTGTATACCAAGGCCGTGTGCAGGTTGACGAGCCAAACTCATAGATGCTGAGATAACAAAAATTGAGCTGAGACTTTCAGGGTCCATCCGGAACACAGATTTCGCAGCCCCGGGTTGTTTGGCTCAACTACAACATACTACAACTATCCTGACAAGTGCAAGCTGGGTGCTGCTGATCAGCTTTGTTATGGAGGTCCAAGATCTAAAGCTCATGTATCAAAACGTGGCAGGCAGGAGGTGCAGTAGCGCATCAGAACCAGTATAGCCAGCAGTATCTCAGATCTAGGTGGGGTCATCAGTATCTCAGTATGTTGGAACCGTTGCAGCACTCGTGCCTCGCCTGCGGTTTGCCGAAACTGGCACATGTTGTGGCTGTTTAGGCTCTGAGATCCCGGGGGGGCATGTCTCATCCATTGCAACAGCAATGATCATGGGACACCAACTCGCAACTCCAACCACTTCCTGGCGTCAACAGGCGCCGGTCCCTCGCTTTGGCACACCCCAGCCCAGATCATAAAGACTTCAATAGCCTCACTGGGTTGGCTAAAAAGAACGCAAGAACTGCATAGAAACAAGCGCATCAACCAGTTTGATGGGAAGTGTTCTTCCTTTTGTCTTCGACCCGCCGCTGGTCATATAACCTGGCCACACTGGAGGCACATGTCCCAACCTAGGACGAGAGCAGTGTCGTTAGGGGCGTGGACAAGACGCTTGTCACACAGGATCCTACCTGGGTGCTGTCTTTGAAGGGTTCAACGAAGCCAAGCTTTGGACACTCCTACCAGGCAAAGAACTTAAAGTTCAAACCTGTGTGCGAATGACATGATCAGTGCATGATACCATTGAGCATCATTGAACTTGTCTTCGAAGAGGGTATGTGGGGGTGATCTAATCCCAGGATGTCCCCGGTCCCCGAGTTTTCCACATCCTCGTATCCTCAGCATGTGGGCCCCGCTGCCGCTGATCCCATGGAAGAATGACAGGCCGGCGGGTGGAAAGCATGTTTGCTGCATGGCATGCCACACACAATTGCGCCTCCAACGGGTCACCATTTGGCCACTCCACAAGAACAGAAATGACCAAGACACTATTCCAGCCAGAATGTAGGTCAGGGGCCCTGAAAATGCAATCGTGGGTAATTGCGTATGAGCTCGAGTATCGGAACTCTGGGTGCTTCGCTGGCTAGCCGCTAGATCGAGGCTGTGACTCCCGGACCCATTGCCCGTGAGACAGGACGTGGGCAAAACCACCGAGGTGACCAGAATGGAACGTCAACTGCCCCTCAAACAACGAGAGGGTGTGTTAGCGGATGTTAAAGGGTAAACCGGCTCAGAAAACCCTACCAATTACTCAAATGCTTGAGTCTTGAGTATCCCACAGGATCTGAAGGGTTGCTGTGTTCCACTGGATTTCAATGGTAACTTCCGGGCTTGGCTCGGCTTGACCCTGCCCAGGCCCAACTCCAACGAGGCCTTGGCCGCTGCCTGTGCCAAGCAGCCGCCATCGGTCGCGGTCGCGCCTGCGGGCGTACCAGTGGCGGGCGCTTTGGTCGCTTCGAAGCTTGGCGTCCACTGGTGACATGGGGACACGTGGATGGCATGGCCCCAACAGGACCATTCTCCAAAGACCAAACAGGGGGTGAACTCCGCTTCCAGGTCTTGTCACCTTCAACATAAATCATATTCTTCCTCACAAGACTTGCCTGGATAGCGTGATATATCAAGCTTTAGGGTACAAAGCTCATCCCAATACAATTGCTACAAGCTGCCAAAGCTAAAATGAACTCCAGCAGCAAACCAGCAGCAGAACAAGAGCAGCCCAGCAGCAGACCACTGAACAGCAGCACAACAGCAGTAGACCAGACCAGCAGCAGAACAACTCCGGAACAGCAGCAGAACGCAGCCGAACAGCAGCAGAACAACAGCAGCAAACCAGCAGCAGAACAACAGCAGAACAGCAGCAAATCAGCGGCAGAAGAACAGAAGCCCAGCAGCAGACCAGCAGCATCCCAGTAGCAGACTAGCAGCAGCCCGGCAGCAGACCAGCAGGAGAACAACAGCAGCACACCAGCAGCATAACAACAGCAGAACAGCAGTAGACCAGCAGCAGAACAGCAGCAGCACACCACAGCAGCAGCAGCAGAACAGCAGCTGACCAGCAGCTAAGCAGCAGCACACCAGCAGACCAGCAGCACTCCAGCAAGCAGCAGCAGCAGCAGATCAACACTGTGGGGGTTTCGTGTATACATCGATGTTTTGAAGCAGGTGTCCGAAAAGCCTTCTCAATGCACGCAAAAAAGGACCTTTGACGGACACCCTCGTTTCAATACCCTTTCGAGTTTCTTGGGGCGACGTTGGTTCATTTGAAGTCAGGTAGTTTTCACAACAGGATCTCCCATGCCACGTGACCCCTTTAGAGTTGAACCTTGAGGGGGGGGCCTCCTTTTCGTGATAGATCAAGCTTTCAGGCAAAAAGCTCATCCCAATACAATTCGTGCTTTCGTGACAGCTTTCCGCTAAACCTACAATATGTTGAATGCAGGGGCATAGTTTATGCAACAAGTTGCAAAAATACAAGTTAATGCCCAAACAAACTGTAGTTTTCATACGCCACGAAGCGCTTGAGGAATGTTCGCCGATTGCCAAAATTCATGTTCAAGTGCACGCACACAGTTCATTCACCCGGAAGAAAAAACATACACATACTGAGGCAAAGAAATAGCCAGCAAATAACATATCATATACCAAAATAGTTTGCACCAAGCACGATAGGTGTTTAGACATGGGCGCTTGCAATTTCCTCGCGGACAAAGAATGAGACGCTTCAAGGGATGTCATAGGATAACAAGTTGATCAAATGAAGACAACGCACTACTACCAATGAAAAGAACACGTAGTTTCAAGGACAGACGTATAGTATAATTGTTCATGACAAGTACAATGAATGTCTTTGTCAAAGAGACCACAGTTTAAGTGCTGGTGCCACGGAAGATACACGTTTGGACACGCAAACGCGCAGTCTGTACATGATCACAAATACGAGTCATTAACTAAATATCATTAACTATTTGTACAAGCGGAACATGTGTATTCACTCGCCGCCCATGAATGCATTCGTGAACCGTACAAGGGTTCAAGGGATACTCTTGTCAAACAAAGCAGATTTTTACACATCGACGCATAATTATATCATCAATATACAGCAGCGCGGAAAAGCTACCTTCAAACACAAACAGTTTTCAAGCGCCAGCGCGCAAACTGTGCACTAGGCGTAGGCGCACAGTTCATGCATGCACCAAGACAGAGACTGACACAACACCAACACATCGGCGAGACACTGCCAAAACATGACCAAGGCACCAGGACATCACCAGGGCCGTGGATTTGACCGCGCCCACCTGCCTAAAGAGTGTACAACCCCAAGCTATCGGAATTGGGGATTTGTTTTTATATAACTTAACGATATATATATATATATGTATACAGAATTATGAATTATGTGCATAGATAATTACAAACACAATGAGTTGATGTTCTGTTAGCTATACACAAATAATATATACATATACGCTGCATGTTGTTCTCACACATACCTGGCGGTTAGAACCAAAACCACGCACACACACACACACTTAGGATAGGGTGTACTGAACTGAAAGCGGTGCCGCACGCCGGCCTAGGGTTCCATTTCCTAAGAGTACCAGTAAGACCTAGTGGAGGCTGGGGTCTTCAAACGGAAGTGAGGCCCAAAGCGCAAGCACCAAATCGATGAGTTCGGATCGACAAAATGACGGCGGTCCGTGCACATCTGCAGAATTAAAAGGAATAAATGGCCACCAGCTGCGTCTTACAATGCGCCCAGGTGCACCAAGCAGGTACGTTTTCACGACAGCTTGGATGGGTCTTCGTTGGCCCATGCCATCCAAGTGTCCATGGGCCCTCTGCTAAAAAGAAAAAACAATTCAACGGAATCCCTGTGACTACAAGGGGTACACACACACGCCTCCCCAAGGGGAGGCATCTCTGCCCTAGAGCGTCCTTGCGCCTAGTAGTAAGGCCAGGAACCCCTAGAAGCATCCTAGTAGTAAGGCCAGGAGCCCCTAGGAGCAACCCACTCTAAGGTCCCGACGGGAGGGAGGGGTAGGGAGAGAAGAGAAAAAGAAAGAGAAGAAAGGAAAGGGGAAGAAGGTGTTCCCAGCTACGACACAAGTGTCCAAGGACACACCAAAGGAAGAGAGGAAAAGGGTTCCCAGCTATGACAAAAGCATCCAGGGACACCCAAGGAGGAAGGAAGGTGAAGAGAGGAAAGAAAGAAAGAAAGAGAGAGGGAGAGAAAGGGAGAGGAGAGAAAAGAAAAAGGCAGGTGTTCCCAGCTACGAACAGTCGTCCAGGGACACACCAAAGAAAGAAAGGGGTGATCCTGAGTCAAAAAGCAAAGAAAGAAAGGGGGAGGGAAGGGGAAGGGGGGGGACTAAGCTCGCGACAGGTTCCAATGAACCTTGAACAAACTTCGGTCGCTGCGACCACGTACGGCTTGCCCGAGGGCTGCCACCTCTGACCGCTGCGGTCACGTGAAGGCATGAGCCAACTTGGAATTCCAAAGATGAGACAAACATCCGAATTCTTGTGGCATGAGCCAGCTTCGCCCCTTCAGATCGACAAAATGACGGCGGTCCGTGCACATCTGCAGAATTAAAAGGTATAAATTCTTACAATGCGCCCAAGTGCACCAAGCAGATACGTTTTCACGACAGCTTGGATGGGTCTTCGTTGGCCCATGCCATCCAAGTGTCCATGGGCCCCCTGCTAAAAAGAAAAAACAATTCAACGGAATCCCTGTGATTACAAGGGGTACACACACACACACGCCATCCCGTGCACACCGAAAAACACGTTGCTCCACATGGGTTCAGGATGTCCAAATCCGCTGCCCCGGCGCCTCCCGTGGCGCCCTGGCACCGTGCGGCGCCCTCCCCGCCGCCACCCGGCGCCTCCCCGGCGCCCTGGCAAACGCCGAAGCCGCTGCCGGCGCCGCCCAAGTCAACGTTGCCGGTGCCTTTGATGGAGCCTTGGGATCAGAGGTGGGAGCAAATGCCAGACCATTGGTGAGGTGGATTCAGTTTCAACAGAGAAGACAAGTCCACAATTGCCTGGATGTGAAGTCTTTTGGGCAAAACTGAGCAGTTGGATGGGAAGAACCTGCACATCTACCCACGAACAATGACCCCACATAGAGCTCCAGGAAGGAGGCTCTAATAAGTGGCTTTAGAAGATGATTTTGCTGCGGGAAGCATGTTGGGGAGTATGTTTGTTTATGTTTGTTTACAGTATATCGTTCCATGCACCGTACGCATGGTGAGGGACGTGGTCAAAACCATGTCAAAACCAAACGGACCATAATAGTCACGGGTAGGTTGACATCCCTTGTCCAATTTGTTGTCCACCGAGGAGCGCGTGGCCGGGGCACTCAATGCAACGGTCAGCTCCCCCCAGACCATCTCGGAGTACCGGAGCAGGCATTCGCCCGGTGGGGGCGACTGATGGCAGGATTTGTGCAGAGAGCTGTTATGTTGGGGGGAGTTTAGTTTAAACGTTTTTTTTGTTCATGTTTTTTTCGCATGTTGGTTTGCCTGAATCCTGTTTGCAAGCGACGCCCTCCTCATGCATACCATCCAGAGAGGTATACCTGTAACCCTGGGTGTTTACTGATGATTGTAATAACCCTCCATACACATTACGGGGGGGCTTACATCCCCATATCGGGGGCTCCATTAATCAACACTCTACATATTACTTTGCGGGTTGAGGCGTTGTGAGATCTCCTCAGGGTGGTCGCCAGCTAGGATTCCATTGCTTGCCTTGGGGCCCCTTGCCATGTGCATGGGTTTGGCAATACCAGGTGGCAGTCAGAGAGGGGGCAGTCACAAGCTGCGGAGAAACATTGATCCCCAAAAGTTGGGTTCCGGAGTGCCAGTCACAAGCCCAAAGTATTCCAACGGCATGGAAAGACAGAAGTCAACAGTCTCAACAACCAAACCCCACTGCCTCCACTGCCTCTCGCGGTGTGCCTATGTGTGCCTTTGCAGGCTGGTTAAGATCTATTCGATCCACCGACCCAGCAGCGATCTCAGTGGCAGTGGCAGGTGGAAGTGGCTTTACAAAGCAATTGAAAGCCAGCGGACGGTGTCCCTTGTGCTTAGGTAATGTGGCGCAGGTGGACTACCTGCTCAACAAATACAAGAATCAGGAGGAGTTTTTGTATACAAGTGCCTTTCATGCACTGAGCGAGGGAATTTTGTGCCAGAGGACAGCCTTCCCATGTTGAATATGGCAAATTCATGCAAATTCCATGTAGGGCGTCCCAAGTAGAGTTGAACTAGCTGCTAGCTTTGTCCAAAGTTCGGTGCATGAACTGGGGAGGGAGAGACAGAGAAAGAGAGATTGATGTTGTATTATGGATGTTTGGGCTCAAAGGTATATCATTGAATCAAACATCCCCGCGCGGCTTTCACTTACCAACTCGCTTGGCTTCACTTGTTTAATGTTCCCAACCTTGGCACCCTCACCATCACAGCAGACCTCGGAACCTGGCGACCCTTTTCCTTCGCGTCATGTCGCGTTTCGAAAGACATTCACCGCGTCAATTGTCGCCCTCGCGGTCGCGCGAGTCGCCGTCGCGGTCGCGAGGTGTTTGTTCCAAGTATTCCATCTCGCCCAGCTGGGACGGTCAGCAGCCTTTGCCTTTGCCCGTGCGAACTCGGCCGCCGCCCAATGCCAACTCGGTGGCCACGGCGAGAGCGACCAGCACGACCAACTCAAGGGCGACCACTTCCGCTTCACCGGTGGCTTGGGCCAGGTCAGAGGAGTCAGATGAGTTTGAATCTGGAGCAGAATTTGCTCTTCCTCTCATTCTACTTTCATTCTTTTGGGGTTTAGACCACTTCTCCGGGGAAGTGAGCTCCAGCGTTTGTTTGCGCGAGGGGATTGCCTGGAGTGTTGCCGAACCTTTTTGGACCCATACCGTATGGCATTCGGATGATTCTGAACTGATGGTTGGTGGATGTTATTGGCAGTTTTGGTCCGGCCGTGGACTAGGCTTTGAGCCAAATCCCATCCAAAACCCACAGATTGGAGGCGCACATTTTTTATAATTTGCATAGTGACATATCTTGTTCTGGCTAACGCATGCTGTAGTTCTGCCTGCCCAAAATCCAGCTACCTCCAGAATCTTGCGGCAATAGCAACCTCACAATGCATCCAACATGGCTGACAATCCGAATCTTGAATCTTTGGTAAAGATAGGCAAACTCAAAGGCAGCCTCCAAGTTGGCTGTGGGACAGGAACGTTTCCCAGTCAGAATCAACTTCCCTCAAATATCCCAGATTGAACAGTGAATTCCAGAATGACTTTCTGATTGACGATTGGTCTTTCTATGACCGGACCTATAAGTGGTTCCCTGGCCTGTCCTCCTCGCGCACTTACGCAGTCCTCGCTCAGGTCAGACCTGTTCAGGCGCCTGAAGGCCAAGCTGAGAGATGCGGTTCTCATGGGGAGTTGGAACTCCAAAAGGAACGCAACATCGCGTGAGAGAGTCTGCACATGTGGAGTTGGAACTCCAAATGTATTTCAGGGTCTACACATTTGGCACGTCTCGCATGTCGGAGTCGTGCATGAATCAGAGCTGAGTCCGCAGGCGACGTGCCTCCCTGGGCCGCCCGGGAGCTCATGCCGCGCCACGCTGAAGCGTCACAGGAAATCTGATCCAAAGGATTGCCAATATATGGCCTAACAAGAAGCTACTAGGAACAAGTGCATCGCTAGTAGTAACAAGTGCCCTATTAGTAATAGTAACAAGGAAGCTACTAGGAACAAGTGGCCTATTTACCCAGACGCACCAAATGTAGTTGGCATACATGGGGTGTTTGGGACAGATCATTTCAATTCATTTCAGACGCGTTTTGATCATCCAGTTGTAGGGTTGGAAACCACCTCAACTTGTTAGCCGTTTCGCTCTTGTGAGTCTCCTTGTACGAAGTCTTGGAGTTGAAGAAATGCAAACGTTGGAGGAACCAGATAAGTAGCTCACATGTCCATCACCGTGTTTTTGCCCATCAATTTCTGGACGACCTGCACAACGTACCCCTCGCATAGTCTTTGCACGAGTTTCTTTCTGGATCCGAGTCGTGGGATTCAGTGGTAGGCTATGGCTTGCTGCAAGCGACCTAGCATGGGACCGCACATGTGCCACATTGCTTGCAGTGGTAGGTGTTTTCTCTTTTCGTGCGACTTGCTCAGCATCACGCCACCAGTGCTGGGCGCAGAATGGAAACTTTGTTTTCTGGATGTGGGCCCTTCGATTCAGCTGACCGGCTGCTTAAAGCCAGGTGCTGGTCCAACGGGTGCAGGCTTCCTAGGTTGGAGACCCTTGTTCATGTTCACATATTATATACAGCCGTTTGGAGCGCTGGTAGGGCATTTAATTTCCTGACCTGATCACTATCCACTCCCTATCCACTTGGTGCTAGGCATCCTGCAAACACTCGGTTTTGGCAGGGTTGTGATCTGGTAGACACCTGGAGGTCCACCGACAAAAAGGCTAACACAACCGCACCCCATAACTCACAGGGGGATCTATTTGGTATTTGGATGACTTTGCTTAAGGGGATGATGTACCTGCAAGAACAGGGCTTTAGGAGGAGGGCTGTCCCCACATCAGCCCAACAACCATCATCTATCCTACTTCCGATCTAGGAGCCGGAGCCGTTTTGATGTTGTCCCTCACAGACCCACCACAAGTGGTCAATGGTCGAGCCGGGCACGAGGGTCGTCCCAGGTTGGCAAGCGCAAGGCGCTTTCTGCGACGGCACCGCCGAAGGCCAAGGCCAAGGTCTGCCGGGGCTGCATGAGTTTGGGCGAGGGGAACATGAGGCCCATTCATGCCCATTCCGAATTTCGTGTCCTAAACAGTTTGATCAAACTAGGGGTATTAGTAGTCAAGGCATGTCAAGGCTGGATTTCATCGAGGGTGCTCACGGGCGGCGGGAGGGGCAAAGTAGCTGCTATTTACGATACATCATTCATGCCTCTTCGAATGCATTTGGACTGTGCAGACTCGCGTAAACCAGTGGGCGTGAGAGGGTGCTCTCCTCGGCTGCGCTCTCGTTGTGGTGCCGTGCGCATGAACTCTGACTTGGCGTTCACTGTTGGCAGGCGCGAAGGGAAACCTCATGCTTTGGTGGTCTAAAAAGTCGACTTGGCCCAAGAGATCGGGACCAGTTGACTTGCAGATTTCGTGGGCGCTGCGCTTGGTGAACTCGGAAGAGCTGCAGGCACAAGCAGTGCACCTTTCCAAGTCATACGTGTGCTCTGACCTGTGTGCAGTCATATGCATCATATGCATGCACTCATTGTGTGTTCTCACAAGTGTGCTCTCGTGTGTGCCACATATGTGTGCCGTTTTGATCTCTCATGCCTGTGATCTCAAAGGTGTGTTTTCATGCGGGCGCTGTTCGCACATGTTTGCTCTCATGCGTGTGCTGTCGTGTGTGTGTGTGTGTGTGTCTTGTGCTTTCACCTGTTTGCTCACATGTGTGTGCTCTAGAGCGCGGGGCTTGGTACTCGTGTATTCATCTTTGTTCACCGTTTGGTTTCTCTTGCCAGGATCATTGGTTGACTAAAATGTTCACAAAGTTTGGACGCAATCATGGGGTAACAAGAGGGTGAAATAGTTAGTATATGTTGGTATAGTAAATAGATGCAAGTACCGTAGGTTCTTGGTCAATGCCCTTGGACCCAACGGAGTCCGCAACGCGCCGTGAAAACTAAGAGCTGGACGTGGTACCAACGGTGCCTTCGAAAAAGACCATGGACCATGCAAGCAAACTTTTGGCGGCACCAGATTGCCAGGAGGTCCCGCGATGTCAAGAAGAGATCACCTCATTGACTTCCAACCCTAAAATAAATCGAACTAACAAACCACATAATTCTGTCCACCAAGCTTGTCTTGCTTTGAAAGCCGTATTTTGGTTGCAATGTGTTGCACCCCCCCGGGTGGGGCCCCGTGGATAGATCCATTGTCCGCGCACTGGCAGGTGAAGGACCCCGAACAGGAAGTGTCCTGGCACGAAATCATACCCCAAATGCTCTTTGTGTGCAGATATGGTGCAGATCCACCAAAGTAGGCCGTATTTGCATACATGAAGCGTGTGGGCAGTGGATGCTACTTACCACTCCAGAATTCGGAACTGGCGCTCAGAATGCCAGAGCCATGCAGGGTTTCTGGGTCAGGTCTTGGTCTATAGTCGATTCTTTGGAAAGCCTATTATCCGGCATTCAAAACTACAGGTCGAGCCCTTCCTCGTGCCTGCTCGTCATCGTTTCTCCGGGTGACGGTGGGCGTCGGCGGTCATCGTCGCTCCACCGCAAAGGCATCGACGTCGCTCCAACCACCACTGGGCGCGCCGTTGTTGGGGCATGAGGCCAAAGAGATCAGTGAGGCCTTAGCTGCTCTGCAGACACTCACGGAGGAGACATGCCCGGCTTCAGAGAATCCAGGGTCCGAGATGACAGATGGATGCAATCAATCAGCTGGGTGAGATGGATGGGATTGCATGGGAACAAGGTCAAAATAGATCAAAACTCGCAATCGCCTCTACAAGACCGGTACGTAGGTCCAGGTGCTCATCAACTAGGTGGCCAGAAACCTCTCATGTGGTCTTCAATTGTTTCCAGCAAAGCCAACCATCCAGGATCTCACGCAGGCAGTGCCGAAGACGCCGCCTGAGACGCCGAAGGCGGCCGCGTCAGCGGTGCCGAAGACGCCACCAGCGGTGCCGAAGACGCCACCAGCGGTGGTGCCGAAGACGCCACCAGCAGTGCCGAAGACGCCTCCCGAAGTGCCAAGGGAGGCGCGGACGGATGGGCTTGAAGAGGTGTCCCATCATGTTCGCTTTTGGGGGTTGACCAGATAAGTGAAAAAGAAAGTGCTGGACTTGCTTGGGACCCAGTGATCCCTTCGTTGTGCCCCATCTCATTGCAGTTTGAGGAGCCAAAGGCAGCTGCGGCGCCGAAGGGCGCGGCCGAGCCGCAGGGCCCGGCAGCGGAGACGGTGGCTGAGTCTGAGGTGGGACACTCGGGTTCTTTGTTGTTCTCTGGCCCGGCATCAGAGGCTTTTTAGATAATACAAAAATGAGAAGATGAAGATGCAAGCTCCACAGCAATCTAGAATATGTGTCGTATAAGTAATGGTGAAAATTAGCACATATATATTGTGTGTGTTCGTGTGTTCCATGTTCTCCCAAACTCTTCCAAGAGTTTGGACGGCAGGACCCACCGAAACCTGCTGGACCGGCGGAAGCTTCGGCCGCCACCGCGCCCGCCGCTCCGGCACGGCGGCCGCCCACGCCACCGCGGCCCAGACGGCGCATGGCGGAAGAGGCTGGAACTGGTCAGTCCTCCCGGTCCGCATGACGTAGCAGCCACAACCGTTAATAGGAACACAATCTCACACCTGCCTTTTGCCATTGTGTTGTGTTCAACTTCATGTTCGTCTCAAATTATCACACTTTCCCTAATTAGATCTAGATGTGGTATATATATATATATTATACCTGCAGGCGCTGGAAGGCCTCATGCAGGTGTAGGATTGGCATCAAGCATTGAACCTAAGACTTCAGAACACGAAGGTACCCTGGCCCTAGCAATCTTCGCATTTGCATTAGCAACATTCGCATGACTGGAATGGAATCAGGCCAAATCAAGCAGGCCAGGGTTCCAGGGCCTGTTCCCCTTGCGTGGCTTCCAAATGGCCGTTCCGTTCCCGACCTTTGACGCCGCAGGTCACGGCCACGGACCCCCGCCGTGGGGGAGCCCGGTGGTCGGTGGAGCCGGTGGTTTTGGCGTCGGCTCCTTGAACCGTTGACCAGGAGGAGAGATGAGGAGAGGGGAGTGCATGTATGGAATCGTTTGTTGCTTACATTGGAGTGGTAAATGGGGCAAATGCCGAAGCAAACGAGAAAATTCCATAGGTTTGACGGGTCATGTGCTGGAAATGTTCAATCACGCGGCATACCAGGACACTTGTCGCAAGCCTGTGCTGGGACCCAACCACGGGTGGTGAACCTGAGCACGGGACTTGGAAAAACAGGAAACACCATGTAGTCCCATCATTGGACCAGGATGAGAAGCCGTTGCCCAACAAACAGTCCAACGGGAGAAGCTTCAGGGGCTTCAAAACTCAGTACCTGTGCTTTGGATGATGGAGTGGAGGGGTCTGTCCGAGCACTCCCAACTTGGATTCCTTCCCAATTGAGAATCCTGCCCCACACTTGAGACACCTCGCACTCGCATCCTGGAGAATACTACAAGTACCCCGCACTACCCTGGATTTCTTTGTGCTTTGGTTTGTGCGTGCGCATTATTTTGCATGCCCGTTGTTGAAGCAGGTCTACATGTTAAATTGTGGAACCGCACGGCAAAACCTTCCCAGAATTGTGGGAACATGTGCATAACCGTGGCTCGCCTTGGTGTCCGCTATAGCCGCTATAGGTTTAAATTCTCAACGGCTACATTCGCTTTGATCATAGTGATTCGGAGGCCGAATATTGGAAGAAGATGATGATGAAGAAGTGGTAGTGGTCAGCAGGGGGACCTCAGACCTCGCGACGGGAAAGTGCAGCGGAAGCAGAAGCAAACAAAGCACGGATACTGGAGATATGGGTGGTTGGAGGTGCCATTGGACGTCGACGCCCTCGTGCAAACACGTCCTCATGTTCTTCCCTATAGATCCTATTCGAGACACTGGTCATCCAACTGGGCCCCAACCAATTGGACCCCAGTTGCTGAATTGAATGATTCAATCCATTTCAATCCCCCTGACCACCGATCCGTGGCCGCCGTGAGACCAAGCCGGTGGTACCGGTGGTGCTTGGGCCCTTAGGTGTGGACGGTCGAGATCCAGGCAAGAGGGATGGAGAAGGATTGAGATGGACAGGTGTTCATGGAGCTTAAGCTTCTTGAGAGTGCAAGATCTCAAACCCATTGTAACATAATGTAGGAGTTATATACATTATATCACATCGTGTAATACTAACAGATTAGTTATGTAGAACAATATGCGACCCGCATCTCACAGGAATTGCAGCCGATGGTGGTTCAGCATGCTTAGGCTCCAGGCAAAACATAGCAAGACCCTTCATGTCCACATATGAGAGGGAAGAACTTGATTTAGTTTTCAAGCTTTTACACCGAAGCGAGCACCGGAGTCCAGGCCACGAGATGGAGGAGGTGCGATTGAGGGCCTTTTTTCACAGAAGAGGGGATGCATTTGGTCTATCGGGCCAGTCCTTTCGCTAGTCAGCTTGGAAAGTCCCTAATTCTGCATGCGAATTTGATGAGGCGAAGAGGCTGGTGGGGGAGAACCTGACATCTTAGATCCCCGGTCGGCCCAGAGGGCACCCGAACCTGGATATATATTTAAGTTTAAATTAATGATATATGGCCTTGTATGCTGGTGGATGGGAAAAGGGGATGTCGGAGGTATCGTGAACAACCAATAGGTTTGCTACCTCCAGAATTTCCAAAAGGACATCACTGCTGGAGTGCATCTCCCATCCAACAGTCCTGAACATCAATCACATCATCCGCAACCTTTGCTAGTCCCCCGGGCATATACCTTACACGCAAGGGCTTTTTTCTTTTCATTTGTCCTAAGGAAGCTAGAGCCCCCGAACAGAGGCCAACATGGAAGTGAAATATTTAAAGAGCTGATGGTTATGGAATGGCAATGAGGGTTCGGCTCCAGTAGTTCCATGAGCTCTTTTTTTGAGCACTTTGTTGGAACAACATCTCTAGGAGCAAGGACGCTACTAGGAGCTCCTGGCCTTACTAGTGTCTCTAGTAAACGAGAAGCTACTAGGAGCAAAGGGCATCGCTCCGTCGTCACCTTTTGCCTTGCCAGGATGAGAAGCTAGGACGGCCCCTGGCGTGGCGGCGTGGCCTCGTGGCCATGATCAGACTCGATCTTCGGGAACAGAAAGCTCCAATCATGAGTTAATCTTGGCGTTTGTACTCCCAAGGTTTGCATGGCCGGGGCGACATGGCGTTCGGATGGCACTTCGCTTCCGGACTGTTTTGATTTAATTTTCTATCTACGGGCGGGTCAAGGTACCAAGTTGTACCAAGACATCGCACTTACAGTGGCAGGATTTGTCATTGAATCTTCCCGCTCAGGATGGCACCGGAAGCGACATCTGAAGGTTGAAGTGTTCCGTGGGCGCAGAAGCACCAGATCCTCACAAAGGGATGATGAACCAAAGTGCTCATCGACTGTGGGGTAGGTAAAATGAACTCACGTGGCCAAGATGTTGGCGAGAGACGGAATCGATGACCGGTCACGCAGCTAGACACAGAAAGGAAGTCCTGCAGCCCCTGTCTCCATACAACTATCAGGGTCAGCTGAGTCAGGTGCAAAATTCCACCAGCAGTTGGGAGTTTGAAACGGCTTTTGACTGATAGAGGAATTTGCGACACCGCCAGGAGAGCAGATGAGAAAAGCCCTCGGTGCTTCCTTGACCAAGGCCTTCGCAAAGGGCAGGCCCCTGGGTTCGCGGAGTTGGAACTCGAAATGCGCAGGGGCAACCTGTTTTTGTGTGTTTCTTGGACGGGGGTACTGGGGGGGTGTTGGTCACATGTTGAAACATGTGGGAGATCAATGGTTTGGTCGCAGTCACTGGAGTTCGGACATTGTTCGACCATGTTCGACCGATTGTGGTGTGTACGGGGAGTGAAGCACAAGCAGCACAAGCATGTAGTGCACTCTCCGGATGCCCAGCCGCCCCTCGGCACACCAAGTGATCAACTATAGTCTATAGTTATTTTTTTTTGTGCAGTTTCATTTATTGTCCGCGCAGAAAGCTCGCGCGCAAACCGGCTTTTCCCAACCTTCCCTGAGAAGTTGCTTGCCAGTGGGACAGGGAAATCATTTGGGACATTGAGGGACTATCAGATTTTTGAGCTACCCTACAAGTCTATGATGATTGAAATGAAGTGGCTAACTGCTCACGTGCATATTTGTGAGTGGTTTTCAGTACACTTACAGGACTCATCCCCTCGTCCCACCCATGGGCCTTCCTGGTCGAATTCCATCGGGGTCCGGTCCACCGTTTTTCATCATCACCTGGGATAGCGGGATACCTGATCATCCCAGCGCCTTCAGCCAGGTCCGTCGCTAAGATTGACAATGAGAAGTGCAAGTCATGGCCAAGTGGGCCGATGTGTATGTTGCAAGGCATTTGGGAGACACCCGATCCGTCCCTGACCTTGGCCAACCAGCACACCGAGTGAGCCGTTGGTCGCCAGGGCTGACATTGAGGAGTCTGATGCGCCGCAGATGGCCCTTCCTGTGCCTTGGGATGATTGTGTGGAGGTTGGGCCAGAAACCCCCAAAAGATATATAGTTGTTGTATGCTACAGTTGCATCGAATTGAGAGGACCAAATGAGTCCCAATCTTGGATGGTCACAGAGGGATTCTCATTATTCTCATTGGGAAGGTCACTCAGAAGGCGTTGGAAGATTTGTGGTGCTCTACGGTTGGTGTTTTTCTATGTTTTTCTCATATCGCATGGCCTAGTCTATTGGAGGCTCTTGGGAGGCACTTGATATTGACCGCAGGGGTTCAGAGGTTTGGAGCAGGACAGTGTGCTTGATTAGTATTCCAGTTAGGCTCGAGGGAGTTCGCTGGTTTCTGTGGTAGCGGGCCAGCGAACGCCAAGCATTCAAAACCATAGATGTGACTGTGGCATCATTCTCAGTAGGCAAGTAGGTCACCAACAAACAGCCAGGCCAGAATACCATAGAATACCTAGATCAAGGAGAAAATCCCTTCAAACACGCGCAAAAAGAGTAAATTTATCAAGACCCTATCTTTGAACATCGATTCCATTGATTCTTGGATTTGACCGCAAGAAACATCAAGAGACTAACCTGCTGCATCAAAATATTGACCGAACCCTTCGGTTGTTTCAGGTCTCCACCTCCAACCAACAGTTGCCCTCCATTTGGTCCTTTGAAAGCAAGTGCCAATGGTTGTGATGTCCAGTCTGCAACATTGACCCTGACTCATCCACATAGATGTATCATCCACAATTAGACCGGTCTTGTGGGCTGTCACCATCAAAGAACAAATGCATGCCCAACTTTCAACACATCACGCCTGGTTCACCTTCGGAACCTACCAGTGGGCCCCTCCAGGAAAGGGGCCTAACAGGTCTCACTTGGTGAACTGTTATAATATGTTACAATGAACATACTTGAAACTGTATAAGGCAATTACATCTATCGCGATTTGATATGATGTTGATCCATCATTTTGGGGGGAAGCTGGAGCATTTTCTTCGGGATTCGGGTGTTTTTATACACCACCGGCGTCCGGCGTGGGTTCTTTCTTCCCATCGCTCCAGGTGGAGCCCGTGGTGGATCCACCGGACGCGGTGGATCCACCGGACGCGGTTCCGGGTGGCCAGGCCGGGAAGATCGGTCGACAGGTCGGGCATGTGAGCCTGAAACATGCTAAAAATAACACATACACTTCTAGAATGTGCCATAGGTTGCGGAGAAAAGAACGACAGATGGCAGCAAATTTAGAGAGAAAAGGGGGGCGATTCTCCGTTGAAACGGAGTGGATCTGGTGGAATTCTCCGTTTGTCAAGCAGAAATCTAGGGTTTTGTTCCCCTACACATTGTACTAACAACATGATACAACATGCAGTAGAGCATGAACAAGTTCTGCTAATTGTCCAGGGCTTGCTTGCGCCGTGTGGACCTGACTCAATATGCATCAATATATATACACATAACTTGCTGGATTGAAGCCAAGGTCGTATATCCTGGTTGTTTACAACAATTGGCCTATAAATATCAAATGATGAAGATAGGCAAGAAGCCCCCCCCCTTTCACCTGCAAGGAAAGTGCAGGTGGCAAGCATTTGTAGCCTATAGTGGGTAGGTAGAAAGTTGTTGAATTGTGTTGTTTTTCCACCAGCTGCATAGAATGTCACTGCAATGAGCACCTTCCTGCTGCCCAAGGACGACGCCCGCCGCGCTGCCGCAGCAGCTGCGGCGCGCGGTAGGGGATGCCCAAAGAGTGGTAGAGCTGCGGGAGGTTTCCGGAGACCAGGACATGTTCTATAAGAAAAGAGTGATATGATAGGTGTTTAATTTGCCAAGACCAGAAAGGTTAAATGTGTTTGTATCCAAAGGCTTGAAGGATGTTGAAGGTGGTCCTTAGTTGCGTCTTGGTGTGTTGAAGGGAAGATTCAGGACATTTGAATGGCCAAGAGATGCCAAGACGCTTGAATGAGTGGGGCTGCTGACCCTTCGACAAAACCATTCCGTTTTGGGTGTTCAGAGACCGCCAACGGCCAACATGAAATGGGAATTTGGTCCCGTAAGCGGAGGACCGTCCTTTTCGTTCTTCTTGATCCTGGACCGATTCGTCTCAGTCTCATTGGCCGACGCAGAGAACCTCCGGGCCCCGCAGCCGATTTCCCACCCCACAGTGCAGCCCACAAGAAGCAGGGAACGAAGCGCAATGGCATCCATCACCCGGGAGGAAGTCGCCAAGCACAACAAGGCTGAGGATGCCTGGATTATTGTGCCTGGATGTGTGTTTTAGTAGCTGGTGCATGTGACGAGTTAGGTGGGGTGGGGTGGGCCCAGGGAGCATTTGATGGTTGAAACATGTTGAATGCTATATGACATATATAACTAATATGGGCTATGATGTAGTTGTCCATCGGGCACGGGCTAGAACTGGCTGGGCACAACTATTCCTGTGATAGTTTCTTGTTCCTGCGAAATAGATAGATTGAAATGGTCTAATATAGGCTCTTTTGATAAACCCCACCCCCGATTTGGATTTGCAAAACCTCGTTGGCAATATCATCACGAGTCTAATGTCTACATGAGAATTACAGTAGTCAACCCCCTGACAACACTACTTGGGCTGGGTTGCCCATGGGATGTACATGTGGAAAGGATCCACCCTCGAGCTTCCGCCCAAATCGCCAGATTCAGTGGATAGGATCCCAGGTGGGCTTGGAAGAAGTGCTTCCCATGTTGGAGGCTTCACAGCTCTAGAGTTCTGTGTTTGGGTGAATAGACAACCGCTGCACAGTACATGTTTAGAGACTTAGAGATTCTCCAACATACACAAGGGCGTAAATTAGAATAGGGCAAGGGGTCTCCCCCCACTCATTCCCCGCCCAGTGCTTGCATAGCATTTCCAAAACATGCACATCCATTTCAGCACTCTCTTAGAGTTTGCTTGGACCTAAAGGGGAGAACTGGGAGTTGCAGCCCGGAGCTGCCATTTGAGGTGGATGGTGATGTCTACGATGTGACCAAATTTGCGGGTGTTCATCCCGGTGGCACACAGATCCTTTTGGAGTATGCTGGAAAGGACGCTGGTCATGCTGTGATGCAAGAGTATGAGAGAGAGAGAGAGAGACGACAGACAATGAGATTGAGACTGCGAGCTGTTGTCGATGTGTTGTGAGTTGGAACAGCGACATACTGAAATGATGATGCATCCACCCATTGTTTGAACATCTTGACCTCCAAACAGTATTTGGGGTACAATGAATGGTTTTACCAATGGAGTAACCTATGGGTTTTATATGGTTTCACCATGTTTTGCCAGTGGTTGCACCAATCAGTCATTGTATACCCGTTGAACCAATCAGAACCTGCTCCAGCATTGACTCCGCGCCATCGAAACGATCGAGCCAAGCATGCCCAGTTGCTGGCCTTTTGGGGGGAGGTGCTTGAGTGCTCCGATGATGTCGAGGATGTCAAGTCCGATTGGATGATGATGTTGCAACGGTTCACCTCGCCACCCTTCTTCACCTCACCGGGTGCGACTCTAAGAGTGTCGCACACCTCGCCACCTCCACCCCTCGCATGCCACATCAGGATGCCACGGAGGATTTCTACGCGTTGCACCGCCTGGAAGTCTTGGACAAGCACTTTGGAGTGGTAGTTTGTGGATGCTTGTGGCAAGTAATCCAAGGATGGTTACCCTTATGCTACTAGATTGTGGGAACTTCTGAGAAGCTCAATTCAAACATCATGTGAACCACTCGGTTGCAGCATCCCTTTCTACATCCAGTTCACCCACTGCGCATGCATTACGTGCGCAACCTCGCCATCGCTTTCGGGAGTGGGGGTCATCAAGCACCTGCTGCCCAAGGTACCAGCGCCTGAAGAAGGGGCGCTTGGCAGATGCCAAAGGTCCTCCACCCAAGAAGGCCTCAGAGGTCTTGCAGGCGCAAATCCGTCGGGACAGAGACTCCTGGACCCACCAGACTGTTGGGCTTGGGCTCCAGATTGCATCACTTCCAAATTGAACACCAGACAGTGCATATATGTTTACAAAAGGTACATTACAGCTGGATGGTGGAAACAACCATCTGCAATGGGTTAGAACATCTTAGGCAATCATGCTTGTCCTTTTGTCACATTGGTCTAAGACCTCATGTGGTCTCAGGTGTCGACGTTTCGACGTTTCAGGAGTTCAGCAAAGTGCCCTTTGCGGAGCCAACGTACCTCCAGGGCGACTAGGCTGGGTTGGGCCTGCCAGGCTGAAGATTCGTGGCCTGGGCTCACAGAAAATGCGGGCAGGACAAGCAGCAGCCCAATTAGCAGGGTCTTCAGCAATCAAACTGAATATATTATGTTGTTATCCTTATGGTTCTTTTTTGCATTGCAATGCACATGGTTGCGTCCTCCATGGATGTCCATGGCAACCACATATTGAGACCATTGTTGTCCTCATGGTTCTCCATGGAAACAAGGGTGTTTGGGGAACGTCGTGAGCACTGGAAGAATGCCCGGAGAAGGAGCGGCCGACGTGTGACGAGCGGCGGGCCAGCCACCCATTTCTGAGCCAATGTGTTTTTTGTTTTTAAATTGTACACTCCCTTAACAGCAAGAAAAGACATAGGACAACTGGAAGTTCATTCAATAGTGGGATCATGTTGGATCTATTGGGTTTGTGGATGTTTATTAAGTCACTCATGTCCGCATGCGCGTTAGAAAAGCGTGTTTTAGGTGTGTTTTCTCCATGGATCGCGCAAACCTGAGGCTTCAAGTCTCCCTACTTCGACTCAAGCCACATCAAGCTCAGGCGCTCGTGAACTTACATGGGTCACACACCCTGTGGTGTTTTGACACCACCTGTGGGACACCCCTTGCTACAATCCAGGACTCCCCTGGAAACAGGTCTAAGTCTAATGAGGTTGCCACGATCGCCTTGGGGGGCCCAGCAGCAGAATGATGTTGGCCGAGTCGGCTTCTGATGAGTAAAACGAGGAACGGAGTTTTGGACCAACAAATGGACATTCTCACATGTCAGGTCATGCCGCATGTCATGCCGCATGTCATGCCGCATGTCATGCGTTGTTTCTCTATATGCTTCTCCTCGTGTTTTGCAGACGCGGCCGTGAGTCACGTGTGTGTATGTGTGTGGGCCCACCCATGCCACCATGCCAGGGACGACAGATTTGCAAACGATCTAAGCTTTAATTGTCCTTCATGGCAGGCACGAACGGTGGGGTATCATAAAGTCAAGTGCTCAATCCCCAGGTAATTGTGACAAGTGAATATTACACTCCGTGGAACTAACATGGAAGCGGAGTTCTTCTATTCTCCCTGTTTGGTCTTCGAAAATGGTCATCCTGTTGGGGCCATGCCGTCCATGTAAACTTGATTATTCCAGGGAGTGTGATTACTCCAAGCCTCTCCATCTCTCCAGGCAGGAGGCGCGCAAGTTCTTTTGCGGTGAGACCCTGGAAGAGGCCTTGGAGTGCGAACAGATGCTGGGATGAATGCGGAGGTGTCCAGTCGGAGTGCGAAACTGAACCAAAGGATTGGTAGGGAAATCAATGTGTTTCAATCATTACGCCACCTAGGATACCACAGCAACATCCATCCATCCATTCATGCATGCATACATTTACACTGTGCACTGTACATGTTGTTGGTTCTACACTGACAAGGTGGTGCAGAACATATTCCATCAGCACAGTCAGCAGCAAAGCTCCGTGAGCTTGAAATCTGAGATCACCAGGATGAAGCGGCGTCACCCAATGGGCGATGAGGAACCCCGCTTGTGACCCCAATGAGGACCCAACGGGTGGTAGCAACCGGGTCCGTTCAGGATGTCTGACGTCATGTCACTCCTAGCCTTCAATCTCAAGAGGAGTGACTGAGTGACTGAATGCTTCGATTTTGGGATCTGAAACTCACTCTTCGGATCTGGGTTCATGACCGGACCGTCTCACGAGTCACGAGCCAGTGGGTGAATGACCTGTGAGGGCTTGTTTCGCCAGAGGCTCTCCAATTTGGAGATGATTTGAGGACATATAAGAAGTCCCATGCAGCATTTCAATGTTTTAATAGTTTGTTTGCAGAACCAACCCTCCAAAACACCTTTGCACCGCTAGGGAAGCAGTGCTGAAGACGGAAGATACTCCATCCACATTGTGTTGATCTAGCAGCCCTAGCAAAGTGACAAACTGGCTTCATGCCCTTGACAGCCTTAAGAAGAGGACGTTCCGTGCTTGTGGATCCATGTTATCCAGCCAGCCATTGAACGGCCAGACTAGCCCCTCTTTAAGATGTTGCAGGAGAATTCATGTGGTTCCCAATTGGCATATTGGTACGAGTTTTGTTGAGCATCCACATAGCTGGGCCCCTGGGCTTGTTATTTTCCCTGGCAAGTTGATTTCTGCGGTCGAAGTTGCGCTGACAGTGCTTCAAGTGCAGACCTGTGTGGCCTACTTCGCTGGGTTCGCAGGCTCTCACTGTTCGCTCGCGCTCTAGCTGACAGCAACTGAGTCTAAGTGGACAAAAGAAGCTTTTGCAGCCTGGCATGCAGTTCCGCCCCGCTCGTCATTCATGGCATTGCTTGAAAGACGCCAATGATGGATGAAGCTGTCACATTTGCAATACAAGAACTCGGGATGTGTCAGGCGCAGTGGATCCTGCACCAAGTTCTGGTTTGCCACACGTCACCCGGGCGGCATACATTGCATGGGGGCTTCAATACTTGCAGTGCACCAAGTCAAATAGTCCCGTAATCAATTGCGTGGGTGGCGAAGGAATCCCTGATGGTTTGGGATCTTTATGGCCCATGAATGTAGGCAGGGTGGAAGGATGCGAAGATGTTTGGCGAGGTGATGAAGATCTTGGACCGTCGAGGATCTTCACGACTCCTCCAAGCACGTTGAACTTTCATTGTCCACGTCTCCGTGGAGATGTTCCTGTGTGCCAGCCATGCAGACAGAAGCCCGGCCCAAAACTCGCTTGAAAACACTGGCTGCCATGCTACAGCAGTCCATTTTGGAATCTTTGGCCTAGAGCAGGAAGATCCGAAGATGGCAACAACTTACAACCGCGATGTGGAAGACAAGCTGCGGACTGCGCTGTCATGCGCTGTCTATCCGAGTTGTTCTCTACCCTTCGCGCAGAGTTTCTGGCCAGCGCATCAAGATTTAATTATGCAATGTATAGACTTGCAGTTTTCCTTCTCACAAGTCTTCGATTGCTTGGCCTGGGCAATCCTCTACAAAGATGCCGACCTGAGTCGCCGGAGGACAGTGTCGCACAGACAGGGCTTCAATCCAGTCCGTCCTGTTCGTCGTTGCAAATTCAACAGCTTGCGTTAGAAGAATCTTGCAGCCATAGACTGTAGGTAGGTAAAATATTTATTTTGTTGTTTTATTGTCATTTTGTCTGTTGTGTTGTTTGCTGTAGTTAATTTATTTGTCGTTTTGGTTGTCATGTGATTTGTCATTTTGGTTTTAGCTGTCTTTTTTTTTTTGTTGTTGTTTTGTCATTTATGTATCATTGTGTTTTTCATAGTATGTGCATTTATTTGTCGTTTTGTTTGTTGTTTTTTTGTCATGTCTTCTTTGCATCTGGCATTGATTCTGTTTCTTGCTATGTGTTTTGCCTGCCTGGGCCTGCTCAAGGGTGCGGCTGTGGGTGGAACAATTTACCACCCGACTCCACCCAGTGTTGCTGGGACGTTCTGGGCGTCAATGAAAACCGCTGGACAACGAGTATGAGTATACCTACATTATGTATATATAATAAATATGTTTTTTTCACAGGTCACTATAGCAAGCTGCTTGCGGTTCGGTTTGCGTGAGTGTTGGGTGTAGAATCGAACTTCATTGAACATTCAACCGTTTAAGACAGATGAGCTCCAAACCGGTCCCCTCGTCCCAACAGCAAAGCGACAGGCGTGTCAAACCGGGCCTTTTCGTCCGGTGCGGAGTGAGCAGATTCCCTGGTGGCTTCAACCGGTGCAGAGTGAGCAAATCAAATCCATGAGCTGGCAGGAGAAATGAGGGATAGGTGAATGACCTCCCTGGGGCACCCCAGGTAGTGAACGACCGTCATGTCGGTAAGTCAAACAAGGAATGATGGTTTGGGACCCACAGCCAAAGGTCAGAACCACATACCACGGGTTTTTGCTCTTCAGCTATTCTCGTAACCTCGTTTGAATCCGCACGGTGGACTTGGAATAGTAAATCTCCCATCGTGCAGTTGAACTGTTCAGCCTGACATCCAGTTATATACAGGCTTCTCAGGAAAGGCTGGAAGAGGAGAACCTTACAAGTAAGAGTTCATTGATCAATCTGTGTGAAACCTTTGTGCATACACCATCCCTCGACACGCCCATTCTTAAACAAGGCCCCGCGCCCTGGCCGCGCTGGGACGTCCACCGCCTCCCCTAGGAAGTCCACCGCACCAAGCAAAGAGATGCGAAAGCGCATGGGCGAACTGGGTTTGATTGCCATGGTCCAGGGCCCAGGACGGAGGGCGTAGCGGACGTAGCAGCGGTTCCAGCGGACTCTTGAAGGGTTGTTGTTCTGATGTTCTGGTGCAGCCAGCCACGCTTCGACTTAGATAAAAGGCAAGGGTGCAGGGTTGAGTCGTTTTGCGGGCATTTTTGTTGAAGGAAAGAAAGTGAAGAAGTCCTGCACCGGATGCAATTGCAAAAAAACGGTGGATATTGAGGTTCCATCATAAGTTTGTGTCGGTGCTGGTTAGAACTTCCTTGGGTGCGCTTTCCGACAAGGACCTCACTTGAAGATCCCTCCCTCCCTTTGCGGCGGTGTGGTGAAGCCAGAGGAGCTTCCTGGATGTGACCGCTCTGGTGGGATTTGAGCAGTTGTAAGCTACATTTTTGGAGGGTCTAAACCGGTGGTATGCACCTAGACATTGAAAGGCAACATATGGAACCTACAAATATCTACAGAACTAAAGATGCATATGGGCAAAAAAACAATCAATATGGAAAATTGAAAGCCATCTGGAAAGGCTACCAAAAGGTCAAAAGGCTTTGGAATGGCTCAAAGGCTTGAAACTAGGTTGGGTTGTGGCAGGTTTCCCAAAGCCACCTGGAAAGGCTACCAAAAGGCCAAGAGGCTCTGGAGTTGCCCCAAGGCTTGAAAAAAACAGAAAATCATACCAAAACAATAACGAAACCATTAAAAACATACTTTACATTCTTTACATACATGCTTCTGTCACTGGCTTGGAAGTCTTAAACATAGCAGGAAGAAAAGGAAGAAGGTCTAGAGAAAAAAAGGTAAAACACAGAAAGGTGTCAAGAAAACGGAACCTCCAAAAATGTAGCTTACATTTATTCAAAACATGTAACTTACATTTTTTAAGGTGTCCCTAAGAAAATGTAACTTACATTGTTTAAGCCCAAAGTTGCAAAACATGTAGCTTACATTTAGACAGGTCCCCCCCCTCTTAGGGGTGGGGATGGGGTAAGCCAAACCAAAGGCTTGCGTGGTCCTACCTGAGAAACCCACCAAAAACCATGAGGCTATGACTGGGATGAAGATCCTTTTCGTTCTAGCTCAGGTGAAATCCTCTAAACATGTCAACTGTCCATACTGACTCAGTGGATATAACATCAGGACAACCGCTTTCGACATTGCCAGGGTAAATCTCCAATAGCAAATCTCATAAGCTACGATTCCTGCGATCAACCAGTATAGCCTCGATGCCTTGAGAGCAGCTACTCATCCAAGAAAATCACCGTGCGCTGTGGCCATTCGATGGATCCTCTCGGCTACTGTAGTCCATCCTGCTACGTACTAGGGCCTAGGGGCCCATTGAGATGAGCCTCGGTGCCTTGAAAGAGCATTGCTGGATGGTGGCGAGGAATACCATTCACTAGACTATATATATATAATGCACTATTGGTGTGTTTTTTTCTTGATCCTCATGTCCTATACTCTATTATTCACTTGGTGTTTTGTTTGGGGAGCTGGCCAGACTTGCTTCTTGATCCTCATGTCCTATAATTGTAATGATGGGCATGATTGGCCCTGCTTGGGTCGGCCCAACAAGGAGCACCATTTTACATCAGGTTGAGGGCAGTTTAACAGTATACTCAATGTTTTGTATGTTGACCTCTACGTAGGAGACATGTTTGTATCACAGCTGCTGATATATGCATGATTAACGCACGTGTTCACATATAGGTCCTCTTCGGAGGTCCATTTCAGAGGCACACATGCTTTCCTATCCCAAAGGCTCAACGTATGGAACATTTACCTACATTGTTCCTTTAACAAACCACCCCAACATATCCCAACATCCCAACATACAGTATACATACCATACATGGAGTGTTTTCCCATCGATTCGAGGTTCACCTATTTCCATGAGATGGTCGTCCAAGAGGAGCGCTGCCGCACCATGTGCCCGGGCTACGAGGATGGTCTCGACGGCGCGGTGTCCATTGGTTTGCCCGTGCTCCTGACGCTTGGAGCGGACGCGGCCGCGGAGCGGACGCGGCGAAAGAGAGAACAAGGAAGGGACTGGTTTAGAGTTTAGACTGGTATAGAGCTGAAACATGATGAAACATGGCCAAGGAGGCCCAATGGCACTGCTGAGGTGAAGGTGTGGGAAAGGTGGTGTTTGTGCTCCAATTTCATGCCACATTGTGACAGCGATCCCGGGTTTGACTGATATCAACAGAGGCCGACACCGTTCGTGAAGCCGACACCGGTTGCCACCGGAATCTGTGACCGATGCTCCGCCCGGTGTGCTTCGATGTCAGGAAGTATGGCTCAGATTGGATGAAGAATGAAGTGGTGCCTCCAATCATCAAGGGTGACTCTTCTCAGACAAATATGGAGGATCCTAACTGCAGATGTGGTTATGGGCTGCGAGTTTGTCGGTGTTCTTTTTGAAGGTCAATGCAAGAGTGTTGCAGGGTGTTCCTAAAAGAAGCTCTCCTTTTTGCACCATAGCCAGCAAATAATAAAGCTCTCAAGCTTGAAACAAGCGGGTTCCAGGTCATTGACCTTTTTGCTCACAGAGGGGGTCCCAAGTTCGGCAGTTTGTCACCACCACTGGCCTTGGTGGCTTCATCTTGCTCACTTGGCTCACTTTGGTTACTTCATCCGAATTCATGTGGCTCAGCCAGGAAGCCCTGTGCCACTGTCCACAACGCGATTGTAGTCTAAAGAACAGCTAAGACTCCATATGACGCCATCAATTACAAACACTTTGCTTGATTTCCATTCTCCATCTTCATCCTGACCCTCCATTGAACCTTCATCAACCCTCCAAAAAGCCACAACGGAAAGAGATCCACATGTCCACCACTGCCTCCCACCATCACCTCCGCTATAGCGGTGCTACGACTGGGCGCTCCGCGGCTCCAAGGCGAACAGACCGTCGTGCTGAGCATCACCGAAGCCTTCGCCGGCTCCGACGTGGCGGGGCTCCGGACCACGGCGGTGCTGGACGCCAGTGGGGAGACGCCTGGCCGTGCACAGGCGGTGGAGGTCTCACCCACAACGGGAGGGGGGAAGCCATGGTGAAGGAGCTGTGAGGGCCAGGTTCAGACTGGCACAGAACTGCGTTGAGGTGATTTACGGCACATGACTTGTTTTTTCTTTGTGCCGATGGTGTTTTCCTGTGCGCGTCCGTCTACTTTCCAGTGGAATGATTCGCGAGGGCGTCCCCAAGTGAAGTGCGAGTAGATGTGAGTAATTATATAAATATATAGGATTATATAGGTATTTGTCATGCCCATGTGGACTTCAGTCGATTGTTGTGTTTGTCGTGTCCCCATGGGGATGGCGCAACTGGCACAACTGTCTCCAGGCTTTAGGCCATATTTTTTAGATTCTAGGGGGTGTCAATGTGTGTGTGTGCTTTCTTACACCAGAAATTTACTCTACTCTGAGCATACTTTGAAGTCAATCAGTGGCTATACTTCTAGCTTGTGCCAAACTGCATTCATTGGAGGCGGGACCATATTTTTAGAGCAAGTTGAGTACAGCAAGAAAAGGTTGTTGTTTTCGGCTTTGGTGCTGCTTTGCTGCCAAAATCAACTTGGTATAGACTACGTAGACTTTGTGTTTTTGGATGCCGAGGTTGGTTGGCCACATGTACCCTTCACGTTCCCTTGAGGGAACTTGGGAACTTGGAAGGGCCAGAAAGCCCTCGGGCCTGAACGATTCTCACATCATGATGTTACGTGAGTCAGGTGTTAGTTCCTTTTTTCATAGCTGAAAACCTGTAACAGGTCGGCATTGCTGTAGGTAATGCACTCCAAGACCAGCTGCATTAATGTCTAATGTTGCCGCAAGATGCCACAAGACTCTTCTTCTTGAAGATTTGTTGGGTTGTGGGGCCCTGTTTGCTGTAAACGTCCTGCCGTATCACCGAGGAACTACATCGTGAACGGCACCAAGAAGTGGATCACAGGGGGCATGTGGCTAGTCCGGAGTGGGGAGTGGGGAGTGGGTACATGAGTGGGAAGTTAGTTTGAGTTGAATGTTAGTTTGAGCCGCATTGTGTTGGTTTTGTTCAAGGATTGATTCAGATCTATATAGGACCTAGGAAATTGATTCAATGTCCTGTTGACGAGGACCCGCTGTGGGGGTGAACAACAAGATTCCTCACGTGCAGGTTGCCAGCTGTTGTGGTTTCATATGTGCCTGTCGTGATGTAGCCGGTAGAGTTTGGTTGCGGGACGCCGATGGTTAGTCGTGGGGGTGTAGACTCTATATATAGACTGTATCATACCCTGTTGACCCAAGCCTACATAAATGTGTCTCCAACACACCCTCTCACAGGGTATGTCCATGTGGATCCATAGAAAAGTTAGAGTTATTATTAATCTATGCGACAACCACACCCTAGCAGGCCCTAGCACTCCGACCATGCAGTGGCTGCAGCAACTTTGTGTGTCTGTCCGTTGTAGATTTGTCAGTTTGCTTTTCACAGGTTTTTCCCCGGCCGCTATGGAGCACGCTTTTTCCACACGACCCCCCTTATCCAAAAAGAGCCCAAAAAGTTGCAAAAGGACCCTGGCAATCAACCCATGGCATGTGGACAGCAACCAGGAGAGAAAAGTACTAAACCGAGGAAAGCAACCTTCCAGGATTTGCGCGTAGAAGCCGCCATCCTCTCAGATCGCCGCACAAAAAAAGAGCGAGCGGCTCGCCTTAAAGGTGGTCACATGTGGTCAGTTTTCTGACCGCCCCCTAGTCCAACTGTCCGCCTCGCCCTAATCCAACCACTGCAGCAACTTCCCAACCACTGACGCCTCGAACTTCGAGGTACGCGGATTGGTTTGTGACCGCGGTGCGCACGGGGAAGCCCGGTGCCGGTGGTATCTCCATGATGTTGATCCCCCGATCCGATGCAGTTCAGACGAAGGCGTGGGTTCGCCTGGAGTGATGGCAGTTTTGGGTGGTTGGAGCCAAACAATGTCTCAGACTCCATGGGACTGGGCTTCAGGGGGTCAATGTAGGTAATTACTGTATATATATAATACCTACTGTAAGAAGTGCGACTTGTTCACTGTTTGAGCGTGGAACCTCATCAATCGGAGATCATCAGAGGAATCCATGCCATGAGGAACTCAGGAGCAACCTCTTCACGGCTTTTCTTTGTGGCACACACTGTGGCCAATGTTTTTCGTCGTTTCGTGTCTTTTTTCTTCGTCCCGAGTGCAGCACAGACGGCTGTTCGCTACGTCCATGAGATCGGTGTTTGTTCGTCGACCGTCCTCGGACCGAGCTCAATCGTTGTCCTCGCCAGATCATGAAGAGCAAATATTCCAGCTCTGCGGGCACAGCCTACGTGACCTATGAGAACTGCGTGGTGCCCAAGAAGTACCTCATCGGAACCGAGAACAAGGCACGAACGAGAACAAGTGGAAGGACCGCGAGTGAAGTGAAGTAGGATGGCAAGGGTGATTCTGCATGGAATCAGTCACCCTGTTCTTGAATGTTCTTAATAGCTGGCACCCCAGCACAATTGTCAGGAGCAGTTTGATCAATTAACATGACATATTGTGCATGTTCCACAGGAACAGGTGTTTGCACCTTGTAGACTGGAGGCCTTTTGCTTTGAGTCGTGTTTGCCGTGCTATGACAAAATGTCGGCTAATAACATTTGTTCACAAGCCGGCTTGGACCCCATGATGCTGCATCAGAGTGGTGTATGTGTGGCTGCAGGTTGCAACCTGTGAGTTGATAGAGCCACGATTGCAATCTGCAAAATTCCAAGGGCTGGGGGTCGCCATATCAGTCAGCCTCCAACGTGACCGTGCCGTTTGGTGGAAGCGAATTGTAAAATATCGGAAAGGTCATCCAGTGACTTTTGAGTGGCATGTGAACCTATGGTAAAGGAGGAGTGCCAGGATATGCCAGGATGTTCATGTCTTTGAAACAGGGCCAAAGGCCAGCCAAGAGGTTCTCCTGAACTGGTATCTACGATTGTCCTGAACTGGTGTCAGGGAAGACGATCCTGCCCTAGATTTGTCCTAAAGTTCGAATCTGACAAAGAAAAACATGAAAAAGACCAAGAGATCACCCTTACTGCCACTACTATAAGTTGAGCTTGAGCCTCAAGCGCATCAACCAACTAGCTGTCCAATCAACTAGCTACCCTCGCCAACTGCAGGGCTTCCAGATCATCATGTCCAACTTCAACCACGAACGTTGGATGATCACTGTGGTTTGCATCGCCCGTGCCCGCATGTGCACCGAGGCAGCGGATTCGATAGTCAACACGGGGGGCCGTGTTTGTGCGGCCGTTTGGGCGCCCCCAAGAGGTTGAAACCTCAGTGGTTTGGAAGACCAGCATGGAAAACATGTTTGTTTAAACCCCTGGTGAAACATCTCCCGTTGCCTGTGAAGTGGGACTGGAGGATGTGAAAAACACATCATTTCGCGAGCGAGGATCATCGCGAGCGCAGCCAAACGCATGCAAGAGTATGCACGGAGTGTGAGCAACTTTTTGTTGGCGGAACATCTCAAACAAATCAACGCGGTAGATCAGCAGAGTCAGAGTTCCCAGTGTATCGCATGAGGACTTTCACCATGTCGGAGGTCGTTCCAGAGATGAGTCATGATGAAGCGAAATGTGCTCAAGGGCGGGTGCCATACAAGAGTTTACCATCAGTGGGACTGGCCCCCTTGATGAGGAATTTGCTGTTCGCCACCCGCGTTCCCTTTGTAAGTTCCACCTGTAAGATGCCGAGGGACGCGCCAGGAGACCTTCAAGTGGTCCATGCAGCGGAAGGTCTTTGGAAAGCCCCTCATTGAGCAGCCTGTGATCCGTGAGAAGCTGGCACAGATGTTCGCTGGGGTGGAGACGCTGGGCGGCAACTTCTTGGGCAGGGATGGTCAGGCCGACTATGGGTAGATAGGACCAGGGGGGTTTTGGTGCAAGACATGTGGAATCATGTAGAGTTACATTTTGATCAGTGAATTATTTGCCGGATTCGGAATGTGGACGAATTATGCAGAATCAAGACCCAACATGATCAAGAGATCTAGCACGATGAGGGACCTCCCTCACAGAGTTTGGCCAAGCCAGAGCCCGGCACTCCCTGGAGCCCAAAGGATTTGGTTCGAAGCTCAACCCCCTGGAAGCGACTCACAGGCTGTCTAATTTCCCCGACAGAGACCCCCGCCTTCACCACCTGAAGCCTGAGAGGATAGTTTTAGTATTCAGTACATACCAGCAAATGTATTGTAATATTATATACATGCATGTATTATATATTACTAATTACATTTTTCAGCACGGCCTCCTTGTGAAGACAGTTTCGAGCCTCCGTCCCTGTCGAGATGTTTTTTCTCAGACTATCCGACTGGTGCTTGAAGTGTCAAGCGGGCCAGGACCTGCACCCAGATGCTCTACGACATCACTTACAACATGGTTTCCATGGGTTCTCAGGGTGCTGAGGTGGGCGCCCGGATCGCCTTGTTGAAGTACCAGGCCACGCGCATGACGCACGGCTGGCTGGTTTGCGTGGATGGGATGGGATGAGCTAATTTGGTTGCGATCGATTTGATATGAGTTGATGGTGTAATATGGTGTAATCATCGAAGTTGATAGTGGGACGAGTGGGTAGGCTGGGGTGAGAGATGGGTGGACCCAACTTCCCTCCAAACAGGCAGGTGCAGTTCCTTGTCAATCGCCAGACGAAGAAGAAGTGAGGCTGAGACATTCGTGACATTAGCCTTAGTCCGAGTCCCTTGGTCAGTCAACCGCTGGTGGCTTCCCGTGTTGCGCACAGAAACCGGAGTTGGGGTGAAGAATTGGTCAGAAAGTGGCTGACCTGTGCTGCTGAACCTCAGCTTTGATTTCCCTTTGGCCTTAATTCCCTATGCGGTTCCCGCCTGGCCGCATGACCACTTTTTGCTGGTTTGAATGCTGCATTCGGGTAGGAAAGGATCTGCAAAAAGACGTCAATAACGGACAATATACAATAACTGCGTGATCACACGATGTGCCAAAGACGTACCTCATGAACCCCCCAATGTTATCAATGTGATTTGCTCAACAAACAGTGGAAATGGCAAAGGCGTTTGATCAGACAATTACAAAGCAGCTTCCCTAGACTTGTTAGGGCCATTTGGCACCTTTGCGGAATCACAAGCACTAGACTTGTCGTTCATAGAATAGGTGTATAGGTGTGTCTCTTTTTCCCTCACATTCAACCCCCAAACTTCCTGGTCACCGGATAGGCCTGGTGTGGTCCTTTTCCTGTTAAGCTTCTTGGATGTTTTCGCCCCACAGGCCGCCCACCCAACCCCGACAAAAACCTCTTCACTTCGGGTGATTGAGGGCATAGGTATCAAGAAAAAGAAAACGAGCATCAACAACAATAAGTATTGTTTTAAAAATTAAAAAGCGAATCCAAAAAAATAACATATTCCTTGATAGGCCTCTTCTGCTGCTCTCCTGGCCCTGTGGTTTGCGGGTCTTCTGGTAATAAGGTCCCTTGGTCCTTTGGTCCCTTGGTCCTTTGGTCCACTGGTCCTTTGGTCCCCTGGTCCCTTGGTCCTTTGGTCCACTGGTCCCCTAGTCCTCCGGTCTCCTGGTCCTCTGGTCCTGTCTCCTGGTCCGCTGGTCTCTTGCTCTCCTACTCCGCTCGTCTTTCGGTCTCCTGGTCCCCTGCTTGCGCAAATAGAGGCTTGATTGCTTTCTACTAGAGGCAGCTCCCTGGGAGGAAAGTAGGTACCCAATGATGGTAGCCGTCCAGTCATTGAGTAGCCCTACTCGAAAAATGGTTCACCAGTAGAAATAGCTCCCTACTAGGAATGAGCTCCTAAGGAGGTACACTCTCCTAGTCCCCTGCTCCTTCCATCCTCTTCCCTTGGTCTCCTAATCCTGCTACTGATACTGCTACTACTAGAGGAAAGGGCAGATCAGAATCTGAGGGTTCGGATCAACGACCAGGATCAGCGACCGGCGGATCAGCGACCACACCGGATCAGTGACCACAGTTCAGCGACCAAATTTCCGGGATCAGCGACCAGATTTCCAGGATCAGGGACCAGCGCCACACAGGATCAGCGACTGCGGATTAACGACCAGGAGAGGACCAGAGAGGACAAGAGGAGAAGAAGAAGAGGACAAGAGGAGGATCAGAGGAGGACCAGAGAAGGACAAGCGGAGGAGAAGAGGAGGACGAGAGGATGACAAAGGAGAAGAAGAGGAGGATCGTTGCAACAGAGATGAGGGGTTAGATAACTTGACGGTAAGGGCGGCGCGTTGTCGGAAAGCCGGGACGTAGGGATTCAACAATGGTTCGGTGGGATTGACCATCGAATTCCCCATGGTGGGGACGCAGGGAGATTGATCCCTGTGCACTGTTGGAGAGCTCCGCGTACCGAAATCCCGGTGGACCGTCAGTGCTAGCCGTTCTTATCGACCAGTTTTCCAGGATCAGGGCCAAGCGCCACACAGGATCAGCGACTGCGGATGAACGACCACGAGAGGACCAGAGAGGACAAGAGGAGAAGAAGAAGAGGACAAGAGGAGGATCAGAGGAGGACCATGCAGAGAAGGACAAGCGGAGGAGAAGCAGAGGACAAGAGGATGACAAAGGAGAAGAAGAGGAGGATCGTTGCAACAGAGACGAGGGGTTAGATAACTTGACAGTAAGGGCGGTACGTTGTAGGAAAGCCGGGACGTAGGGATTCAACAATGGTTCGGTGGGATTGACCATCGAATTCCCCATGGTGGGGACGCAGGGAGATTGATCCCTGTGCATTGTTGGAGAGCTCCGCGTACCGAAATTGCGGTGGACCGTCAGCGCTAGCCGTTCTTGTCGTTGCCACCCCAAGACAGACAGAGGAGAAAAGAAGGACAAGACAAGGAGGACAAGAGGAGGTAAATTTGCTACGCAAGGGAGAAGCCCATGCGTAGTGTGCCTCGCTCGAAACCGAACAATTAATTCAACGTAGCGCAACCCTGGAAGCATAGCATGGCTCGAACACCAGGAACACTTGGAATTAAAAACTCCTGGTCGTTGATCCGGACCCTCAGTGCACCCTTGTTGTTAATCCTTTAACGGACTTAGAAGCTTCCTTGGGAATCGTTTCACCTGTAGCAGCAAAAAGCTTACTAGCAACAAAGCTTAGCCAGAAGCCTATCTATGATTTTCTATTGCTATCTAGTACTACTACTACTACTACTACTACTACTACTACTACTACTACTACTACTACTACTAGAGAGCTGGCCGCTGTGGGAGTGCACTTTTTTCCATGAGTTGTAGCTTCATCTGGATCATCTGAACCTAATCATCTTTGCAAAATTTTCATCCACCTGAGGTCGTCGCCAAATATCATTGAATCATTTACTATATAAGGCTTCCAACTCAAAGCCTTCTATCTGCTGCTGAAATGCTGAAAATTACAATATAAACAAGCAATCTCTCTTGCATTGATAGGTTTGTGAAAGTTGTTCTTTTGTAAGCATTGATAGGCTTGTGAAAGTTGTTCTTTTGTAAGGTTTTGTTCTTTTTGGTGAATGATATCTTTTTAAAAGGGTTGTGAAATTTGTAAATTTCCTGCTCTATATGCAATTGGTAAACATATTTATTCATTCAATTATGAATTATAGAAATGATTAAACCCATAAGCTAGGTGTTTACCAAATAGTCACCATGCAAAATCATATTTCTTTCTTTTAGAGTGGGAATTGTATTGCTCTTATTAAATGCAGTTGGGTAAATACATCAGAATTAGAAGGCAAATAGTTATAAATCCTAAATAGCTAAATTCTAATTTAATTCCTATTCAACTCAAATTCAAATCTATATGTAAATTCAGGATCAATTCTATTTCAATTATATTTCAATTCTATTTTGCTTCAAATTTCCTTCATTGGGATTCAATGCAAGACAAATTATAATTCGATTTTGCCTTTAATTTCATTATTATATACTTCAGATTCAATTCTAATATTTCATTCGTGTTGAATTAAAATTTGGATTTTATGAAAGTCGCATTTATTTCTAGGGAATTGATCTTGCTTTGAACATAAAAGATTTTTATGAAATTTTTCCAATATGGAAGTATATTCTTTCTTTAATGAAATATATTCATATCACCAATAATATTCATTCTCTAGAATGGAAGCAAAACTCAAGTAGAATTCCATTTGCATTGAATTGGAATCAAATAAGAAAATTAGATATATAGATCAATTGAGTTTAACATTAGAAATCATTAATAAATCAATTGGAAATTGGAATAGACAAAATTAATGTTTTTAATGCAACACATAATGAAATAGAATTAAAAAAGAAATAGATTGAAATTAAATTAGAACTAAATAAATAGTATTAAATCAAAATCCATTATTCAAATTGAAATTTACCTAGACCCAAGGTAGAATTGAATTAAAAATATTTAACCTAGGAATTAAAAATAATAGAGCAATATTGCAATATTGATATAGAATTAGGTTACAAATAATTCAATTTAATGAAAATTGCAAATTCAATTTGAATTCCAATAAATAGAATGCAAATATATTCTATTTAGAATTAAATGGGAAAAATATTGCAAATTCACATATAAATTCAATTTTGAATTTAATATTAGATCCAGAATAATCAAAGATAATTACAATTACAACAAAATTAAATTAGAATAAAATTGAATTACAATTTGATTATAATGAATTTTAAAAATACATAAACTTAATTTAGAATTTAATTAGGTTCAAACTAGAACTAAAAAAGAAGCCTATTACATATTCAAAACAAATTCAATTTAAAATTAATTACATCCAATTAAATTCTCAATAAAACTAGAAAGGAAACAAATTCAATTAGAATAAATATTGGTTTAGAATTTAGTTAAATTGTATTTAAGTTAAAATTCATAGAATAAAATCTCAATTGAGTTAATAACTATTTAGAAATGAATAAGAAATAGTGTTTATTTTTGTAGCAGACCAGCCAAAAAAATTAGACCCATGGAGAGGGACCCAGGAGAGATTGGGCAGGAGACATAGGTCCAACAAGTTCAGACTCATGGAGGGGGACCCACAAAAGGCTAGACAGGAGACACGAGTCTGATTTATATATTTCGGTTTGCCATGGTCTTGTAGGTTGGCTAGGTCGGCAAAGCAAGTTTCGTGCTGCCTATGTTATGCTCAAGCATACAGGCAGCACACAGTGGCTGCCATGGCGCGAGTTACTTTCCGAATCAAAGGCTATCGATCTGAGTGAACGTGGCCGCAAACGGCAACGCATCGAAGGCCTCTTGGTTTTCGATACGGCATTGGAAGTCGAGGATTCCGATGTCTCCGCAGCCCCGTGGGCCTTAGCTACCATGTTTGAAGTTCGGCGAAATGCGTTCGCCCTTGCCCAGGTATGTCACCTGGCAGCAATGAAGTCTTATGACCAGGCTTTCATGAAACTCTACACCGCCAAACCGTCCGATGGTCTTCGCCCCCCCAACATGAAGGAAGCCCAGCAAGCAGA